TGCTGATATAGTTTCACCACCATAGCTGCTCCACACCTCTCTCTCACACTCCCCTGGAGCCAAAGGCAGTCCCAGAATAAGAATCAGGTCCTTTCTCATCTCAGTGCCTGGCGAGGCTGTCTCCAAACTCTGTGTTTACCCTTGCACAGACTATAGTAAATATTGAGAGGCCTGATATGAAGAGTGTACTATTGTACAGTGACTTTGATACTCTGACATACCCTGCAAAAGCCATCAATTACTTGTCACCTATTCTAACTCTGTAGTAGCATTCTGTACTATGCCTTGCTGTTCCTGCCTGCTTGTGTGTGTGTCCTCTGTGGGAGTGGCTGTGGGATTGTGGCTCCAAATGGCAGATAAAACAAATCATCCTTTAATCAGATCATCCAGATAAAATGACACTCAATCACAGAGAGAGCCATTCACTTTTAAAAATCTGCTGACTACAGTGCAGAGATGGTAGGTAGAGGGTGGGGGGAATGGGGCATGTGGCTTTTAGTGAGATAGGGAGAGGCGGGCACATGATTCTAGTAGCGGCTGCAAGTTACTATACAGTGAAGGTAAAGGGGGAACAATAACTCCAAGGACAAATGGGGGAGGGGAGAGAAACACCTGCCATTCACTGACTGGAACCAGATCTACAGGCTCTACACTAACAGAGGGCTGATTAAATCTCAGCTGGAGAAATAGAGCTGGGCTCTATCTAATATCTCTATTCCCCTCTCCCTCCATCTGTCTCTACCACCTACCTGTTTCATGATATTGCACAGGAATGGGGAGCTAGAAGCCCTTTCAATAATAGGAGATACACAATTAGGTGAAGATTTAGATGTTGCATGGTAGATTTCCTTTCCTTTTACTGTTGCATAGTGAAATATAGAAGGGGAATGCCACAAATTAATTCCAACCAATGTAGGCCTAATTAATGGATATCTATTGATAGAATGTTTTCGTTCTGTTCTCCAGAGCATTGTAATAAGATTACTCAAAGGGAGTGTTCCTCACTCAAAGGAAGGGAAACACAGATTATCAAACCATTGAACACATATCACATCCATTACCTAAAAATAATGCAATTTTCCAGTCAGTTGTCTGAGTGAGGGGCTGTGTTTACATACCAATTTGCTGAAAATTGCTCAAGACTCAGACTCCATGTACTGTTTGTTCCATTTAGATGGCAGACCAGGGATTAACAAAGCAAACTAGGGACCAAACAGGATGCATCTCATAACATAAGGATTCCTCTCTTAGCGATCTTCAATGAATATATGTGTAAAGCTCTTTATATCTGGCCTACTGTATCCATAGGCTGTATGAGGTTGTTTACATGGGCCACTACATCATTTACTTGACCGTATCTGTCAGAGAGCTCCAGACTAAAGCAGCTTCTGTCGTCTTGTTGAAAACACATTTAAGCAAGTTTGCCACCTTGTGTTTCAAAAGTGCGTAACAGCTCAATGAATTACCACGCAGGCCAAGGTCCTAATCTTGTACCGCTGTTTCCTGGGATATGTAGTGAACATAGTTTTAACACAACGCTGAAACCACAGACCTGGCAGTGTGGTGCCGGAGGAACAACCTCTCCCTCAACGTCAGCAAGACCAAGGAGCTGATCATGGAGTACAGGAAACGGAGTGGCGAGCACGCCACCATCCACATTGACGGGGCGGCAGTGGAGCTGGTAGACAACTTCAAGTTCCTTTGTGTCCAAATCACTAAAGACTTAAAATGGTCCAAACACACAATACAATCATGAAAAGGTTCTACAGCTGTACCATTGAGAGCATATTGACTGGCTGCATCACTGCTTGGTATGGCAATAGCACCGCCCTCGATCGCATGGCGCTACAGAGGGTTGTGCGGACAGCTCAGTACATCACTGGGGCCGAGCTCCCTGCCATCCATGACCTCTATATCAGGCGGTGTGAAAAGAAGGCCCGGAAAAACATCAAAGACCCCAACCACCCAAGCCACAGACTATTTTCTCTACTGCCACACGGCAAGAGGTACCGGTGCATCAAGTCTGACACCAACAGGCTCTTGAACAGCTTCTATCCCCAAGCAATACGACTGAAAAATGTTAACAAAATAGCTACACGGACAGAGTTTACCTTGTATCTTTATTAACCTTTAATTTTAATATTTGCACTATATTTGCAATGTTTGTCTCTATGCACACTCACACACACTGTCACTCCAACACACAAACACTCACTCCATAATTTACTCACTCACACATAATATGGACATACATTTATACTGACTCTACACACCAGCACACCCACTCACTTACAAGCTGCGGCTACTCTGTTTATCTTATATCCTGTTGCTTAGTCATCTTACCCGTATACATATTTACCTCCATCACTTCAGTATTCTTTCACATGTAAATATGGTATTAGAACTGACTTTCTAAATATTTCCTGTATATAGTATACTTACTTACTTACTTTGTGTATTTCTTATTCTTATTTCTCATGTGTTTTTTTCTAGTAATACATTGTTATTGATTATTGCATTGTTGCAAGAAAGGCATTTCACTGTCCTTGTGCATGTGACATTAAAACTTGAACTACTGTATGAGGTATGGCTGAAACTCCACTGTGCAACGACCCCCGTTTTTTTTTATATCTGTGCATAAGCCCTTAGAAAACTACAATTCCCATACTCGGAATCCGCTGTTAATTTCCTGTGGCGTCGTGTAAGAATGCGGCTTGGTAAAACGAAGGTAGTTCGCAAGCATTTAGTTTTCAAGTGTCAAAGGTTCGTACTTAAAGTTTTATACATGCATTTTACCTCTGTATGCTGTAAAACCCTAAAGGTGCAGTATTTATAAATAATGTTTGGACGTGGTCTATCTGTCAGCTAGTCGTTGTAAACAAGCTTTCTTGCTAGGTAGCTAGCGAGTGAGTCTTGCAATAATAATGAGTATGATATCATACTTACTAGTTACCTAGCTAGCTAATTACCTGACATTTAGCTAGTTCGCTAGCCAACCATGTAAGCCAGGGGACAACAACTCATTCAAGAGTGCTTGCTAACTAGCTAGTTCTACTGAACAAAAATATAAATGCAACATTTAAAGTGTTGGTCCCATGTTTCATGAGCGGTAATAAATAAAATCCCAGAAATGTTCCATATGCACAAAAAGCGTATTTCTCTCAACTTTTATGCACAAATTTGTTTACATCCCTGTTTGTGAGCATTTCTCCTTTGTCAAGATAATCCATCCACTTTACAAGTGTGGCATATCAAGAAGCTGATTAAACTACATGATTATTACACAGGTGCACCTTGCTGGGGACAATAAAAGGCCACTCTAAAATGTGCTGTTTTGTTACACAACACAATGCCACAGATGTCTCCAAGTTTTGAGAGAGCGTGCAATTGTCATGCTGAGTGCAGGAAAGTCCACCAGAGCTGTTGCCAGATAATTTAATGTTAATTTCTTTACCATAAGCCACCTCCAACAATGTTTTAGAGAATTTGCCAGTATGTCCAACCAGCCTCACAACTGCAGACCATGTGTATAGCATTGTGTAGGCGAGCAGTTTGCTGATGTCAACGTTGTGAACAGAGTGCCCCATGGTGGGATTATGGTATGGGCTGGCATAAGCTACGGACAACGAACACAATTCTATTTTATTGATGGCAATTTAAATGCACAGAGATACCATGACGAGATCCTGAGGCTCATTGTCGTGCCATTCATCCGCCACCATCACCTCATGTTTCAGCATGATAATGCATGGCCCATGTTGCAAGGATCTGTACCCATTTCCTGGAAGCTGAAAATGTCCCAGTTCTTCCATGGCCTGCATACTCAACAGACATGTCACCCTTTGAGCATGTTTGGGATGCTCTGGATCGTCATGTACGACAGCATGTTCCAGTTCCCGTCAATATCCAGCAACTTTGCACAGCCGTAGAAGAGGTGTGGGACAACATATGCAAAGATGTGTCGCGCTGCATGAGGCAAATGGTGGTCACACCAGATACTGACTGGTTTTCTGATCCACGCCCCCACCTTTTTTTAAGGTATCTGTGACCAACAGATGCATATCTGTATTCCCAATCATGTGAAACCCATAGATTAGGGACTAATGAATTCATCTCAATTGACTGATTTTCTTATATGAACTGTAACTCAGTCAAATCTTTGAAATTGTTTCATGTTGCTTTTATATTTTTGTTCAGTATAGTTATGGATAGCCCAATATTGGACTAAAGGAGCCTTGCTAACATTACTTCTTAGTCCAAGGACCTTAGCTTCATGTTCTGGTTTAAAGGGTGAATTAGCAAGCCAAAATATGCCATCTAAACGTGAACCGATTCTCATTTGCGCTACGGTTCTAGAAACATAAATCCATCTACTTTCATATCACATAACATTTTCACAAATGCAAAATACACACTTACTGTGTACACTGTTTTAACCGGTTTTAAAACGGTTGCAGTCAACAATATTTTTCAATGACATGTTTGTGGAGTCTGTCTTCCGTTTACACACAGGTGTTCGGAGACACAGATAGCTAATTAACACAGGTAGTCCACTCTGTCTTCCATCTGTTTTCCCTGAACAAGCGCTGTAACATGGAAATATGGACATGTGGGAACCCTAACCCTATAAAGCTGTGTATCAATTTAACCTTTTGTTTTTTGAAAATTATTACTTGCTGATATGAAAGATAAGGTCCGATGCATGTTAATGTTCAGACCGAGCGTCGCGGCTTTTAACAAAACTCCTCCCTACAGAAGACTCCTTTGTCCAACGACTTGTATGTGCAATGTAATGTAACTGAGAGTCATGATCAAGGGCTAGTTATGGAGTGTGCTTTATTCCAGCACTAAACACTTGACTCAAATTGTCATTGTCTTTGATGATTAGCTAGTTGATAGGATGATGGTAACACCATTAGGTGTTGGACATGAAATCGATAAATGAAGACAGTCAGAACTTAATGGGGGTTGGTAACCTAATACACTGAGGCGATGGCAACATGGACTTGAAGACCTACAACTCAAAGCTCCTTCTGTCCTCACAGATGGCTGGTGAATTAACCGACAAGAACGATGCAGCAGATACCTCTGGAGTCAAGGATAAGGAGTGGAAACGCTAAGGCTCCCCATCGAAGGACTGGAAACCACGCCAACTCTCTCGTGAACGCAACCGATCCAAATCGGCAGAAAGGTTTGAATAATGCACTGCTTACTGTTAGTGGGTGCATGCAAACAAGTAGCCAGAATAGTTTCGATCTTTCGGTTGCAGTGAGTACATCTTCCCAACGATATGGCTTGAAAACCGTACCTCAATCCAGGAATGGAAGACGTCGCTGTACTCCTAATATTCCCATTATCCATTGTGACAGTTAGTTTTTAATAGCAGAAGCCACAGCATCCATTTGGGAATTGTATTTATGACATTTCCATAGCGTGACGACGTAGTCCATACGGAGCCTGATTGGTTGACTCTCCTTTGTTGTTTAATGCGACGTTCTATGTGCCATTCCAAAATGGTTGCTGTGGCTTCTGCTACCTAGCATGAGGACGAAACAAAGGCAGTTTAATTTTTAAAAAACTATTTCAGTCTTCTCGATTTATCTCTTTGGATAATGTGAGAATTAGGAGTACAGCGACAACTTCCATCCCTGGATTGAGGTACGTTTTTCTAGCCAAATTACACGCCGGTTCCGCGCTGCCCTGATTATGGCAGCAGTGCATTTCGACCTGTAGCGAAGATGTACTTGCTGCGACCGACCGGTTCTGTCTAGTGAACAAGATCTGGTATCTGACTCTATCTTCCCACTGTATGTGAAAGGTGTCCAGTGGGTTTCTAAAAATGTGTATCACAGGTTGGTAATATTTCTATGTATCTGACCTTTCCTTCCCCTCCAGAGATCGCTGTCTGAAGGACAAGGAGAGAGAGAAGGAGCGCGACCGGGACAAGGACAGAGAGAGGGGTCGCAAGGACAAAGACAAGGACATTCACCGCAGAGACAAAGACCACAGTAAGAAATCCAGGTGTGTAGGCTTGAGTCAGACTGCTGTTTTTAGTCCCAGGGTGACTATTCGGTGCAGGCTTGAGCAGATTACAAGATCATTGTGTCCTAATGATATGGTTCCAACTAGAGACGTTAAAAACTTCTGTAGGCATTATAAAGATCTGATATTCTCAGCAGAATGTGTGTATTTGGAACTCGCCCACTGTGTGCCATCCAGTAACTGAGTGTGAGCTTTGTGTCTTTAAAACATCCCTCACGTAATATGCAGAGCCATTTTCAGGGCTTTTTTCTTTACCTTTTCAACTTGAGTGGTTGCTTCTCCTTACAGAAGCATCTCCCCCAAGTCCAAGGACAGGATAAAGAGGGAGACGGAGAGGAGGAAGATGAGAAAAAGAAGAAATGAAAGGGAAGACAAGGGAATGGTCTCTCCAAAGCCCAGATAGCTACCACTTAGTGATGTATCTTGAGTTGTGATGGTGTCTCTCTCTTAGGTACAGCCACAATCTAGAAGAGCTTCTAGCCAAGAAGAAGGCAGAGGAGGAGGCCGAGGCAAAGGTGAGACCATAAGAGTGCCCATTTAGTAGTCTCTGTTTGGTGTTGCAGTGATGAAGGAGCAAGATGGGAGTGTAACAATCAAAAATCTTAAACTACGTTTCTCCACACAAAATGTGAATGTGTTTGAAGTTTAAAACATCTTTCCCTTTATTTCTCTCCACCTCGTTTTCTTTCTCTCTCTCAGCCCAAGTTCCTGTCCAAGACAGAACGTGAGGCGGAGGCTCTGAAATGGAGGCAGCAGCAGACGGAGCAGAGGAAGAAGACTATCGATGAGGACAGGAAGAAGAGGAGGATGTTCCAGGACATCGGGAGGAAGATGATGGGTGAGTAGGAGGGGCTTGGGGTTAGTCAGGAGGAAGATGATGGGTGAGTAGGAGGGGCTTGGGGTTAGTCAGGAGGAAGATGATGGGTGAGTAGGAGGGGCTTGGGGTTAGTCAGGAGGAAGATGTAGAGTGAGTAGGAGGGGCTTGGAGTTAGTCAGGAGGAAGATGATGGGTGAGTAGGAGGGGCTTGGGGTTAGTCAGGAGGAAGATGATGGGTGAGTAGGAGGGGCTTGGGGTTAGTCAGTTGGAAGATGATGGGTGAGTAGGAGGGGCTTGGGGTTAGTCAGGAGGAAGATGATGGGTGAATAGGAGGGGCTTAGGGTTAGGAGGAAGATGTTGGGTGAATAGGAGGGGCTTAGTGTTTGGAAGAAGATGATGGGTGAGTGGGAGATGGTAAGTCAGGTTGCAACATTCTGAAAGTTACTGACATAAATGTCTTCTAAAGAGCTTAAATGATTCCCTATTTTACAAATACATCATGTATTTCTATCTGAACGTTCAGTAACGTTGCACCCCACTGAACATGGCCTACGTCTCTGGCAGTTTGGTATCACACTGTTAAACCTCTGGTTAGGTCTCTAACATTATTTGAAGGCTTGCAGCCAGGCTGTACGGGTCCCAGAGGACCCCCAGGAAAGGGACATACGAGAAGGGAGAGAGCGGATGGAGCGTGAGAACAACGGGGACCAAGAGGACGACGGAAGACAGAAGATCAGAGAGGAGAAGGATAAAGGCAAGGAGCTCCAGACCATCAAGGTTAGTCTGGAGATTGAGGTTCTACCATGGGCTGGCTTCAGGAACACAGGTTAAGCCCATTTCTTGGTTGTATTCATTTGTGCACACTAGCAAAACATAGCAAAACATTTTGCAACAGAACATTAAAACAAAGTTTCTTATTGGCAACGTAATGTAGTGTTTGAGCAGGTGTACTGTGCCTTCTCACACCTGTCTGTCTCTGTCCAATCAGGAGCGTTACCTGGGCGGGACTAAGAAGCGCCGGCGGACACGTCACCTGAACGACAGGAAGTTTGTCTTTGAGTGGGACGCCTCTGAAGACACGTCTACCGACTACAACCCCATGTGAGTCTGCATATGACGATAGTCACAGTTTCACAAACATGGTGTTACAGATGAGATGTGTCCGAATAAGATTGCATTTTTCTGATACGGCCATGGTGTGGTAACCCCTGGTTACAACCTTTAACCACTTTGCTCCTTAAATAGACATTTGGCTTTCTCCTGTGCACCTGCTCTCTTCTCTCCCCAACTTATATCCCTCTCTGCCTGTCTCAGTTATAAGGAGAAGCACCAGGTCCAGCTGTATGGGCGGGGCTTCATAGCTGGTATTGACCTGAAGCAGCAGAAGAGAGACCAGTCACATTTCTATGTCGGCATGATGGAGACGAGACGCACACTGGAGGAGAAGGAGCAGGAGGAGTGAGTCATACACACATTAACACACCTGACAAACTACCATGCTCTCTAACATAAAATCTTTGTCTTTGATTTACAGAAACAGCTTCATTGTCACTCTCTAATCTCTGCCCTCCCTCTCCCCTCCTGCTGCTCAGGGTGCGGCTGAAGAAGGTGCGTAAGAAGGAGGCCAAGCAGCGTTGGGACGACAGACACTGGTCCCAGAAGAAGCTGGAGGAGATGGCGGACAGGGACTGGCGTATCTTCAGAGAGGATTACAGTATCACCACAAAGGGTGGCAAGATCCCCCACCCCATCAGGAACTGGAAGGAGTACAACCTGCCCCCACACATCGTGGAGGTCATCGATAACTGTGGCTACAAGGTCAGCTGTGAAGACTTCGGATGCACACACACACGGATACACACATGCCCAGTACCCTGCCCTGAACTAGTCACTGTCACTAGCCGGCTACCACCCGGTCCTGGCATGCTGTCAATTAACTTCTGGACAACATCCTGACTGATGGCAGCCCATTCTTGCATAATCAATGCTTGGAGTTTGTTTGTCCACCCGCCTCTTGAGGATTGACCACAAGTTCTCAATGGGATTAAGGTCTGGGGAGTTTCCTGGCCATGGACCCAAAATGTCGATGTGTTGGTCCCCGAGCCACTTAGTTATCACTTTTGCCTTATGGCAAGGTGCTCCATCATGCTGGAAAAGGCATTGTTGGTCACCAAACTGTTCATGGATGGTTGGGAGAAGTTGCTCTCGGAGGATGTGTTGGTACCATTCTTTATTCATGGCTGTGTTCTTAGGCAAAATTGTGAGTGAGCCCACTCCCTTGGCTTAGAAGCAACCCCACACATGAATGGTCTCAGGTTGCTTTACTGTTGGCATGACACAGGACTGATGGTAGCGCTCACCTTGTCTTCTCCGGACAAGCTTTTTTCCAGATGCCCCAAACAATCGGAAAGGGGATTCATCAGAGAAAATGACTTTACCCCAGTCCTCAGCAGTCCAATCCCTGTACCTTTTGCAGAATATCAGTCTGTCCCTGATGTTTTTCCTGGAGAGAAGTGGCTTCCTCGCTGCCCTTCTTGACACCAGGCCATCCTCCAAAAGTCTTCGCCTCACTGTGCGTGCAGATGCACTCACACCTGCCTGCTGCCATTCCTGAGCAAGCTCTGCACTGGTGGTGCCCCGATCCCGCAGCTGAATCAACTTTAGGAGACGGTCCTGGCGCTTGCTGGACTTTTTTGGCCGTCCTGAACCTCTCTCCTTGAAGTTCTTGATGATCCGATAAATGGTTGATTTAGGTGCAATCTTACTAGCAGCAATATTATTGCCTGTGAAGCCCTTTTTGTGCAAAGCAATGATGACGGCACGTGTTTCCTTGCAGGTAACCATGGTTAACAGAGGAAGAACAATGATTTCAAGCACCACCCTCCTTTTAAAGCTTCCAGTCTGTTATTCTAACTCAATCAGCATGACAGAGTGATCTCCAGCCTTGTCCTCGTCAACACTCTCACCTGTGTTAACGAGAGAATCACTGACATGATGTCAGCTGGCCCTTTTGTGGCAGGGCTGAAATGCAGTGAAAATGTTTTTTTTGGGGATTAAGTTCATTTTCATGGCAAAGAGGGACTTTGCAATTAATTGCAATTCATCTGATCACTCTTCATAACATTCTGGAGTATACAGTGGGGAAAAAAAGTATTTAGTCAGCCACCAATTGTGCAAGTTCTCCCACTTAAAAAGATGAGAGAGGCCTGTAATTTTCATCATAGGTACACGTCAACTATGACAGACAAAATGAGAAAAGAAAATCCAGAAAATCACATTTATTTGCAAATTTTGTTGGAAAATAAGTATTTGGTCAATAACAAAAGTTTCTCAATACTTTGTTATATACCCTTTGTTGGCAATGACACAGGTCAAACGTTTTCTGTAAGTCTTCGCAAGGTTTTCACACACTGTTGCTGGTATTTTGGCCCATTCCTCCATGCAGATCTCCTCTAGAGCAGTGATGTTTTGGGGCTGTCGCTGGGCAACACGGACTTTCAACTCCCTCCAAAGATTTTCTATGGGGTTGAGATCTGGAGACTGGCTAGGCCACTCCAGGACCTTGAAATGCTTCTTACGAAGCCACTCCTTCGTTGCCCGGGCGGTGTGTTTGGGATAATTTTCATGCTGAAATACCCAGCCACGTTTCATCTTCAATGCCCTTGCTGATGGAAGGAGGTTTTCACTCAAAATCTCACGATACATGGCCCCATTCATTCTTTCCTTTACACGTATCAGTCGTTCTGGTCCCTTTGCAGAAAAACAGCCCCAAAGCATGTTGTTTCTACCCCCATGCTTCACAGTAGGTATGGTGTTCTTTGGATGCAACTCAGCATTCTTTGTCCTCCAAACACGATGAGTTGAGTTTTTACCAAAAAGTTCTATTTTGGTTTCATCTGACCATATGACATTCTCCCAATCCTCTTCTGGATCATCCAAATGCACTCTAGCAAACTTCAGACGGGCCTGGACATGTACTGGCTTAAGCAGGGGGACACGTCTGGCACTGCAGGATTTGAGTCCCTGGCGGCGTAGTGTGTTACTGATGGCAGGCTTTGTTACTTTGGTCCCAGCTCTCTGCAGGTCATTCACTAGGTCCCCCCGTGTGGTTCTGGGATTTTTGCTCACCGTTCTTGTGATCATTTTGACCCCACGAGGTGAGATCTTGCGTGGAGCCCCAGATCGAGGGAGATTATCAGTGGTCTTGTATGTCTTCCATTTCCTAATAATTGCTCCCACAGTTGATTTCTTCAAACCAAGCTGCTTACCTATTGCAGATTCAGTCTTCCCAGCCTGGTGCAGGTCTACAATTTTGTTACTGTGTCCTTTGACAGCTCTTTGGTCTTGGCCATAGTGGAGTTTGGAGTGTGACTGTTTGAGGTTGTGGACAGGTGTCTTTTATACTGATAACAAGTTCAAACAGGTGCCATTAATACAGGTAACGAGTGGAGGACAGAGGAGCCTCTTAAAGAATAAGTTACAGGTCTGTGAGAGCCAGAAATCTTGCTTGTTTGTAGGTGACCAAATACTTATTTTCCACCATAATTAGCAAATAAATTCATTAAAAATCCTACAATGTGATTTTCTGGATTTTTTTCTCTCAATTTGTCTGTCATAGTTGACGTGTACCTATGATGAAAATTACAGGCCTCTCATCTTTTTAAGTGGGAGAACTTGCACAATTGGTGGCTGACTAAATACTTTTTTCCCCACTGTATGCAAATTGCCATCATAAAAACTGAGGCAGCAGACTTTGTGAAAATTAATATTTGTATCATTCTCAAAACATTTGACCACAACTGTACAGTTGAAGTCGGAAGTTTACATACACCTTAGCCAAATACATTTAAACTCAGTTTTTAACAATTCCTGACATTTAATCCTAGTAAAAAATTCCCTGTCTTAGGTCAGTTAGGATCACCACTTTATTTTAAGAATGTGAAATGTCAGAATAATAGCAGAGAGAATGATTTATTTCAGCTTTTATTTCTTTCATCACATTCCCAGTGGGTCAAAAGTTTACATACACTGCAAATATTGACTCTTTGCATAAACGTAATGTAATTGTCAATAATAGTATTTGACGCTTATGGAATGCTTGTAATTATACTTCACTATACCATAGTAACATCTGACAAAAATATCTAAAAACACTGAAGCAGCAAACTTTGTGAAGACCAATACTTGTGTCATTCTCAAAACTTTTGAACACGACTGTATATACTGTATTCTAGTCAAGTCCATCCTATTCAACTATTGCTGTACATATACTATTCTATCCACGTATTCTTGAGAGATACTACATATTCTATACATATACTGCAATGTCTCTAAATCCCATCATATACAAAAATCCAGAAAATCACATTGTATGATTTTTAAGTAATTAATTTGCATTTTATTGCATGACATAAGTATTTGATCACCTACCAACCAGAATTCCGGCTCTCACAGACCTGTTAGTTTTTCTTTAAGAAGCCCTCCTGTTCTCCACTCATTACCTGTATTAACTGCACCTGTTTGAATTCGTTACCTGTATAAAAGACACCTGGCCACACACTCACTCAATCAAACAGACTCCAACCTCTCCACAATGGCCAAGACCAGAGAGCTGTGTAAGGACATCAGGGATAAAATTGTAGACCTGCACAAGGCTGGGATGGGCTACAGGACAATAGGCAAGCAGCTTGGTGAGAAGGTAACAACTGTTGGCACAATTATTAGAAAATGGAAGAAGTTCAAGATGACGGTCAATCACCCTCGGTCTGGGGCTCCATGCAAGATCTCACCTCGTGGGGCATCAATGATCATGAGGAAGGTGAGGGATCAGCCCAGAACTACACGGCAGGACCTGGTCAATGACCTGAAGAGAGCTGGGACCACAGTCTCAAAGAAAACCATGAATAACACACTACGCCGTCATGGATTAAAATCCTGCAGCGCACGCAAGGTCCCCCTGCTCAAGCCAGCGCGTGTCCAGGCCCGTCTGAAGTTTGCCAATGACCATCTGGATGATCCAGAGGAGGAATGGGAGAAGGTCATGTGGTCTGATGAGACAAAAATATAGCTTTTTGGTCTAAACTCCACTCGCCGTGTTTGGAGGAAGAAGAAGGATGAGTACAACCTCAAGAACACCATCCCAACCGTGACGCATGGAGGTGGAAACATCATTATTTGGGGATGCTTTTCTGCAAAGGGGAGAGGACGACTGCACCGTATTGAGGGGAGGATGGATGGGGCCATATATCGCGAGATCTTGGCCAACAACCTCCTTCCCTCAGTAAGAGCATTGAAGATGGGTCGTGGCTGGGTCTTCCAGCATGACAACGACCCGAAACACACAGCCAGGGCAACTAAGGAGTGGCTCTGTAAGAAGCATCTCAAGGTCCTGGAGTGGCCTAGCCAGTCTCCAGACCTGAACCCAATAGAAAATCTTTGGAGGGAGCTGAAAGTCCGGATTGCCCAGCGACAGCCCCGAAACCTGAAGGATCTGGAGAAGGTCTGTATGGAGGAGTGGGCCAAAATCCCTGCTGCAGTGTGTGCAAACCTGGTCAAGACCTACAGGAAACGTATGATCTCTGTAATTGCAAACAAAGATTTCTGTACCAAATATTAAGTTCTGCTTTTCTGATGTATCAAATACTTATGTCATGCAATAAAATGCAAATGAATTACTTAAAAATCATACAATGTGAATTTCTGCTTTGTAAGTAGGAAAACCTGCAAAATCGGCAGTGTATCAAATACTTGTTCTCCCCACTGTATATATTTATATTCCGGACCCTGACATTGCTCTTCCTAATATTTATATATTTCTTAATTCCATTATTTTACTTTTTAGATTTGTTTTTATTATTATATATTACTGCACTGTTGGAGCTAGGAACATAAGCATTTAGCTACACCCTCAATAACATCTGCAAAATATGTGTAAGCGACCAATAAAACTTGATTTGATGCGCGCGCACATGCCACCTTTTGGGTCTTCCCCTGATCAGCACTGAAGCCATTACTCGCTGTATTAAAATGTCTTCCTCTTTGTTTCCCTTGATACCCAGGATCCAATGCCTATCCAGAGACAAGCTATCCCCATTGGCTTACAGAACCGTGACATCATCGGTGTGGCTGGGGCTGGTAGCGGTAAAACGGCTGCCTTCCTCATCCCGCTATTGGTCTGGATCACTACCCTGCCCAAGGATGAAAGGTGAGGCCACATCTCCCCAGCCAGAGGGTTACCCCTCACTACTCAGCCAACAGTTGCATGTCCTTCTTTCGAACCACATCTTCTCACCTCGTCTTTCCCCTGTCCCTGTAGGATTGAGGACTCGGACCAGGGTCCGTATGCAGTGATCCTGGCCCCCACCCGGGAGCTGGCCCAGCAGATTGAGGAGGAGACCCTTAAGTTTGGTAAACCTCTGGGCATCCGCAACGTGGCTGTCATCGGAGGTACTCCAGGGAGGACCAGGGCTTCCGCCTCCGGATGGGCTACGAGGTCAGACGCTAGAAAACACACACATACATACATACAGCTCTGGAAAAAATGAAGAGATCACTGCAAATGTTTCTTAAATCAGCATCTCTACATGTATGACAGCCATTCCATTCCAGTGTCTGTTGAATTCAAACACAGGCACACCTCATTCTACTGAATTAGGTACTGTTTAGGTGATCATCTGAACCAAATCTTATTTAACGAGGAAAAGTATAAAAACCACTGCTGTGGTCATCACTATCCTCTTGCAATAGGACCAGCTGGATGGCAAAAACAGTGCTAATAGTACCTCAAAAGTAATATTAATAAAAAATATAACTATTGACAATGTCAAAAGAGTTGAAAAGGAAAGTTTTGAGTGAGGAAAAGAAGGGTTCAATTCTGGCTTTACTGGCAGAGGGATACAGTGAGCGTCAGGTTGCTTCCATCCTTAAAATTTAAAAGACGGCGGTTCATAAGAACAAGGTCAAGCAGCAGACATTGGGGACTACAAAGCTACAGACCGGCAGAGGGCGAAAACGACTCTCTACTGACTGGGATGACCGCCAACTCATTCGAATGTCTCTCAACAACCGTAGGATGACATCAAGTGACCTACAAAAAGAATGGCAAATGGCAGCTGAGGTGAAGTGCACGGCGAGGACGGTTCGAAACAGGCTCCTAGGGGCAGGGCTGAAGTCGTGCAAAGCTAGAAAAAAGCCCTTCATCAATGAGAAGCAAAGAAAAGCCAGGCTGAGGTTTGCAAAAGACCATAAGGATTGGACCGTAGAGGCTGGAGTAAGGTCATCTTCTCTGATGAGTCCAATTTTCAGCTTTGCCCAACACCTGGTCGTCTAATGGTTAGACGGAGACCTAGAGAGGCCTACAAGCCACAGTGTCTCACAACCACTGTGAAATTTGGTGGAGGATCGGTGATGATCTGGGGGTGCTTCAGCAAGGCTGGAATCGGACAGATTTGTCTTTGTGAAGGACGCATGAATCAATCCACGTACAAGGTTGTCCTGGAAGAACTTGCTTCCTTTTGCTCTGACATTGTTCCCCAACTCTGAGGATTGGTTTTTCCAGCAGGACAATGCGCCATGCCACACAGCCAGGTCAATCAAGGTGTGGATGGAGGACCACCAGATCAAGACCCTGTCATGGCCAGCCGAATCTCCAGACCTGAACCCCATTGAAAACTTCTGGAATGTGATCAAGAGGAAGATGGATGGTCACAAGCCATCAAACAAAGCCGAGCTGCTTGAATTTTTGCGCCAGGAGTGGCATAAAGTCACCCAACATCAATGTGAAAGACTGGTGGAGAGCATGCCAAGACGCATGAAAGCTGTGATTGAAAATCAGGGTTATTCCACCAAATATTGATTTCTGAACTCTTCCTAAGTTATTTAAAAATGAACATGAACTTATTTTCTTTGCATTATTCGAGGTCTGACAACACTGCATCTTTTTTGTTATTTTGACCAGTTGTCATTTTCTGCAAATAAATGCTCTAAATTACTATATATTTTTTTGGAATTTGGGAGAAATGTTGTCAGTAGTTTATAGAATAAAACAAAAATGTTAATTTCACCCAAACACATACCTATAAATAGTAAAATCTGATAAACTTATATTTTTGCAGTGGTCTCTTAATTTTTTCCAGAGCTGTACATACATACATACATACAGTGAGGGAAAAAAGTATTTGATCCCCTGCTTATTTTGTACGTTTGCCCACTGACAAAGAAATGATCAGTCTATAATTTTAATGGTAGGTTTATTTGAACAGTGAGAGACAGAATAACAACAATAAAATCCAGAAAAACGCATGTCAAAATTTTTATAAATTGATTAGCATTTTAATGAGGGAAATAAGTATTTGACCCCCTTTCAATCAGAAAGATTTCTGGCTCCCAGGTGTCTTTTATACAGGTAACGAGCTGAGATTAGGAGCACACTCTTAAAGGGAGTGCTCCTAATCTCAGCTTGTTACCTGTATAAAAGACACCTGTCCACAGAAGCAATCAATCAATCCGATTCCAAACTCTCCACCATGACCAAGACCAAAGAGCACTCCAAGGATATCAGGGACAAGATTGTAGACCTACAAGGCTGGAATGGGCTACAAGACCATCGCCAAGCAGCTTGGTGAGAAGGTGACAACAGTTGGTGTGATTATTCGCAAATGGAAGAAACACAAAATAACTGTCAATCTCCCTCGGCCTGGGGCTCCATGCAATATCTCACCTCGTGGAGTTGCAATGATCATGAGAACGGTGAGGAATCAGCCCAGAACTACACGGGAGGATCTTGTCAATGATCTCAAGGCAGCTGGGACCATAGTCACCAAGAAAACAATTGGTAGCACACTACGCCGTGAAGACTGAAATCCTGCAGCGCCCGCAAGGTCCCCCTGCTCAAGAAAGCACATACACAGGCCCGTCTGAAGTTTGCCAATGAACATCTGAATGATTCAGAGGAGAACTGGGTGAAAGTATTGTGGTCAGATGAGACCAAAATGGAGCTCTTTGGCATCAACTCAACTTGCCGTGTTTGGAGGAGGAGGAATGCTGCCTATGACCCCAAGAACACCATCCCCACCGTCAAACATGGAGGTGGAAACATTATGCTTTGGGGGTGTTTTTCTGCTAAGGGGACAGGACAACTTCACCGCATCAAAGGGACGATGGACAGGGCCATGTACCATCAAATCTTGGATGAGAACCTCCTTCCCTCAGCCAGGGCATTGAAAATGGGTCATGGATGGGTATTCCAGCATGACAATGACCCAAAACACACGGCCAAGGCAACAAAGGAGTGGCTCAAGAAGAAGCACATTAAGGTCCTGGAGTGGCCTAGCCAGTCTCCAGACCTTATTCCCATAGAAAATCTGTGGAGGGAGCTGAAGGTTTGAGTTGCCAAACGTCAGGCTCGAAACCTTAATGAATTGGAGAAGATCTGCAAAGAGGAGTGGGACAAAATCCCTCCTGAGATGTGTGCAAACCTGGTGGCCAACTACAAGAAACGTCTGACCTCTGTGATTGCCAACAAGGGTTTTGCCACCAAGTACTAAGTCATGTTTTGCAGAGGGATCAAATACTTATTTCCCTCATTAAAATGCAAATCAATTAATAACATTTTTGACATGCGTTTTTCTGGATTTTGTTGTTGTTATTCTGTCTCTCACTGTTCAAATAAACCTACCATTAAAATTATAGACTGATCATGTCTTTGTCAGTGGGAAAACCTACAAAATCAGCAGGGGATCAAATACTTTTTTCCCTCACTGTACATACACACATACATACATACAGTGAGGGGAAAAAAGTATTTGATCCCCTGCTGATTTTGTACGTTTGCCCACTGACAAAGACATGATCAGTCAGTGAGAGACAGAATAACAACAAAAAAATCCAGAAAAACGCATGTCAAAAATGTTATAAATTGATTTGCATTTTAATGAGGGAAATAAGTATTTGACCCCTCTGCAAAACATGATTTAGTACTTGGTGGTAAAACCCTTGTTGGCAATCACAGAGGTCAGACGTTTCTTGTAGTTGGCCACCAGGTTTGCACACATCTCAGGAGGGATTTTGTCCCACTCCTCTTTGCAGATCTTCTCCAAGTCATTAAGGTTTTGAGGCTGACGTTTGGCAACTCGAACCTTCAGCTCCCTCCACAGATTTTCTATGGGATTAAGGTCTGGAGACTGGCTAGGCCACTCCAGGACCTTAATGTGCTTCTTCTTGAGCCACTCCTTTGTTGCCTTGGCCGTGTGTTTTGGGTCATTGTCATACTGTAATACCCATCCACGACCCATTTTCAATGCCCTGGCTGAGGGAAGGAGGTTCTCACCCAAGATTTGACGGTACATGGCGCCGTCCATCGGCCCTTTGATGCGGTGCAGTTGTCCTGTCCCCTTAGCAGAAAAACACCCCCAAAGCATAATGTTTCCACCACCATGTTTGACGGTGTGGATGGTGTTCTTGGGGTCATAGGCAACATTCCTCCTCCTCCAAACACAGCGAGTTGAGTTGATGCCAAAGAGCTCCATTTTGGTCTCATCTGACCACAACACTTTCACCCAGTTCTCCTCTAAATCATTCAGATGTTCATTGGCAAACTTCAGACGGCCCTGTATATGTGCTTTCTTGAGCAGGGGGACCTTGCGGGCGCTGCAGGATTTCAGTCCTTCACGGCGTAGTGTGTTACCAATTGTTTTCTTGGTGACTATGGTCCCAGCTGCCTTGAGATCATTGACAAGATCCTCCCGTGTAGTGTTGGGCTGATTCCTCACCGTTCTCATGATCATTGCAACTCCACGAGGTGAGATCTTGCATGGAGCCCCAGGCCGAGGGAGATTGACAGTTATTTTGTGTTTCTTCCATTTGCGAATAATCGTACCAACTGTTGTCACCTTCTCACCAAGCTGCTTGGCGATGGTCTTGTAGCTCATTCCAGCCTTGTGTAGGTCTACAATCTTGTCCCTGACATCCTTGGAGAGCTCTTTGGTCTTGGCCATGGTGGAGAGTTTGGAATCTGATTGATTGATTGATTGCTTCTGTGGAGAGGTGTCTTTTATACAGGTAACAAACACTCCCTTTAAGAGTGTGCTCCTAATCTCAGCTCGTTACCTGTATAAAAAACACCTGGGAGCCAGAAATCTCTCTGATTGAGAGGGGGTCAAATACTTATTTCCCTCATTAAAATGCAAATCAATTTATAACATTTTTGACATGTTTTTCTGGATTTTGTTGTTATTCTTTCTCTCACTGTTCAAATAAACCTACCATTAAAATGATAGACTGATCATTTCTTTGTCAGTGGGCAAACGTACAAAATCAGCAGGGGATCAAATACTTTTTTCCCTCACTGTACATACATACATACATACATACATACATACATACATACATACACACATACATACACACACACACACACACACACACACACACACAATAATAATGCCAATATGAAGACTCATGTATGTGACGTCTGCGTAAACGTGTGTGTGTGTTCCAGATAGTGATAGCCACCCTGGGTCGTCTGATAGACGTGTTGGAAAACAGATACCTGGTCCTGGGTCGCTGTACCTACGTGGTACTGGACGAGGCTGACCGCATGATAGACATGGGCTTCGAGCCTGATGTCCAGAAGATCCTGGAGTACATCCCTGTGACCAATCAGAAACCAGACACGGACGAGGCAGAGGACCCCGAGAAAATGAAGATTAACTTCGAGATGGGAAAACACAAGTACAGACAGGTAACAGATTGTTCCACACATTCAGCTACAGTAGGTGATGTATGACAGAGTTAAAGCCTAAACAGATAAACGCACACACTGAAGAAAATGTCAGCTTAAGAAGAAAATTCTCTCTTTCCCCTGCCTTTTCTTCTCTCCCTCTCTCTTCCTTCCTTCCTCCATCTGTCTGTCTCTTTTTCAGACGGTCATGTTCTCAGCTACCATGCCTGCAGCGGTAGAGCGGTTGGCCCGTAATTACCTGCGTCGTCCGGCTGTGGTGTACATCGGCTCAGCCGGGAAACCCCACGAGAGAGTGGAACAAAGGGTCCTGCTCATGGGAGAGGGAGAGAAGAGGTAGCACACACACACTGCTTTCTCTGAAGCTGTAGCTAATGCTGAGTCTCCCTTGTTTTCTCGTCTTCCAGAAAGAGGCAGCTGGAAGTGTTGGCACGCGGGTTTGAGCCTCCCATCATCATCTTCGTCAACCAGAAGAAGGGTGTCGACGTGCTGGCCAAGTCTCTGGCGAAGATGGGGGTGAGACCTCAGGCGCTATTATTCTAGGATATGTTTACCACTCTGACCTGGGTCAAATACATCTATCTACTTTCTCCCTCTCTCCTTGTCTCTCTCAGTACAATGCTTGCATGTTTCACGGTGGTAAGGGCCAGGAGCAGAGAGAGTTTGCTCTGTCCAACCTGAAGGCTGGAGCCAAGGACATCCTGGTGGCCACCGATGTGGCTGGGAGAGGTATCGACATCCACGATGTCTCGATGGTGCTCAACTACGACATGGCCAAGAACATTGAGGGTAAGACCACCACCATGACCTTTGACCCTGGGGTCACTCACCTGTCTGTTGGATTGTTACGTCATAGCGACTTTACACAGGCTGCCATTGCACATCCCTCCATATTTGTAGACGGTTTATTTTTACATATTGTGACATTGCCCCCTCTCCCACCACTCCAGACTACATCCATCGTATTGGTCGCACGGGTCGTGCTGGGAAGAGCGGTGTGGCCCTGACCTTCCCCACCAAGGAGGACTCGTCAGTGTTCTACGACCTGAAGCAGGCCTTCCTGGAGAGCCCAGTGTCCACCTGTCCCCCCGAGCTGTCCAACCACCCCGATGCCCAGCACAAGCCTGGGACCATCCTCACCAAGAAGAGACGAGAGGAGACCATCTTTGCCTAAAGTGCCAGATCAAGTTATATGTATACACCTCGCTTTGACATGCCACCCCATACACACACTGGGTTTTCAGTCTTTTTTTATCATGTCTCTCTTTTGCTGGCTCAACATGTACTGTATCCCCCTCCTTCCCTCCGTTTCTTCTATACTTTTCTCATCCTCTTTCTGTTGCTCCTGTCTGCCTCTTGCCACTCTCCAGTCCTCGTCCTTTCTCATAACTCCATAGTTCGTCTTTCTCTTCTGTATTCCGGCTGCTGTATGAAATGTTAGGCTGATGTTAGGGCCTGGGGGGGTCATATGGCTGTCTGGTTTAACTACAGGAGAATAGAGGGCTCTGGGTCTGATGTGTGGGGAGGGAAGGTATGGAACGTCATGTGAGCTCCAAGTCTACACATATTTCAAAGAGGCCCTGTAACCAAACAAAAGCGGCCCCAAAACACCAACACAGAAAAGTGGTAGTGTGATGTCATTGTGTAAAAAAAATTACAATATTTGAGTTATGCCAGTTAAACAATTGTGTAAAGAGACCAATACAGTGAATACCTGGTAGATGTGATGTGTTCTTTCTTCAGTCAGCTGGTTATGATGATTATATTGGAATGTGATGTTTGCTACATTGATATCTATGAAATGAATAAAACCAACTTTGACACCTTAAAACATTTTTTTTGTTCATAGCCCTACAAAGGTTCTCTATCAACTTCATGGACTCGACTAACAAGATCGGTGTCTTAAGAACTATAACGTTCAAGAAAGCACAACAGCCGCGTTAAAATTACATAAAATGTAATGTTTATTTTACTTAGCATTTTTAAATGTATTAAATAGAAAGCATTTGATACAGCATCAGGCAGGAAATTTATATTTTTTTACATTTTTGTTTTGTTCTCAGAAATGTAGGAAAGGAGCGTGTTGGTTCACGCTAGCACACTGTGATAGATAATACATGGTTATATTTAGTGCAGTTATTGCATTACAAAGCAACCATCAACAAATAACTTTTTTCTACTCACACAAAGTGGAAGTCCCAATAGGCTAAGGCGTTTTAAGTCTTTCAATCTTAGGCTTTTTATTGCATACAGAATTTAAGACAGAGGAAACTGAAACCCTTTTAAAAATTGTGCTTCATAAATCAAAAAGACATTATTTTGATCAATTACTACATTGGTCTGCTTTGTAAATCATATTCTGCCGAAGTACAGTGAAAGTAGCTAAGTGGCCTAAGACATGCAAGTCCTCTCTCTCTCACACTCACACAAGAGATCAAGGAGGAAGTAGGAATAAATAACTTAAGATCCAAGTTGTGCTCAATAGAACACATTTGATTCTAAAGTAAGACATTTTTTTAAAATCAGTTTGTATCGTTAAGAGAGGATTCTGGGGGAGGAAAGTACTGAACTGTTATTTCTTCCTTTTTTTTAGGAATACAAAGTGTTGACATTAATCCACATTAATCCTTATTCATTTAATGTTGAGTGAAAAATCTAATTCAATACATTATTCTCTGTTGTCAGGTTATTCCATATTTGAGATGCATTCTGCTTTTTAAATGGTTAATAGTGGTGATTGATTTGTAACTTGGAGTGACTCGATGCCTTTTACAAACAGAGAATTGTCCTAACGACAATATTATTAAGATATAAATAGGAGAATCAGAATCTATGCCTAAATAAAGTATAGAGAAACTGCTGAAAAAAACTATCAGGTTTCACGCAACACTTGCATAGATTTTGTTTTCTTATTTTTTCAATCATGCTGTGATTTTTCAAAAAATATGAACACCAGATAAAGTTACCTGTTAGACATGGAAGTAGTAGACCAGTTAGTCCCCAGACATGGTCTGCAGGGACCCCTGTTCATGCAGGTCTTTGTTCCACAATATCCCCAACTGATCTGTTCATAGACTAAAAATGCAGGTATATGACATCATGGCTGCGTTTACACAGGCAGCCCAATTCTGATATTCTTTTCACTCGATGGTCTTTTGACCAATCACATCAGATCTTTTTCAGAGCTGATCTGATTGGCCAAAAGACCAATTAGTGAAAAAAAGATCAGAATTGGCTGCCTGTGTATACACTGCACATCTGACAGTTGCTACAGCTGTGAGTCCTTTTGAAATAAAAGAGAAATATAGAAGCCACAAGTTCACACGTGATTAGCCAATAAAATAAGTGATCAGTCAAGCATGGACAAGTGATGGTTGGAACAAAAACCTGCCTGTACAGGGAGACTTGAGGATCTGCCTCATGAACCACTGAGGTTGACAGTAAAACTGCAGTACACATACAGTATAGAGATGGTGAAAACAAAGGGGTGTGACAAACACTTCCAAACAGCCTGAATAGGTTATACTTGGTATGAGGTGCTGTCATCTTTGTCTGGTGTGGATACTACAATCAAAAATGTGTTACAATCAAGTGAAGGACAATCAGTGGAAGGAGAGAGATCAGCCTACCACTAGGGGGCTGAGAGAGGTGCAAAGGCGTGCAATATAAAATTATTTGATGCCTGTGTGTGTGTGTGTGTGCGCATGCCTGTGTGTATGCAGTAAGAGTAATATTGATTGGTCACATTCCCTTCATAACATATGGTGATATTCTATGTGTGATATGTGTAATGACAGAAACAAGATATGTGAATATACTGCATATTTATGCTGCTAACATATACAGTACCAGTCAAAAGTTTGGACACACCTACTAATTCCAGGGTTTTTCTTTATTTTTACTATTTTCTACATTGTAGAATACTAGTGAAGACATCAAAACTATGAAATAACATATATGGAATCATGTAGTAACCCAAAAAGTGTTAAACAAATCAAAATATATTTTATATTTGAGATTCTTCAAAGTAGCCACCCTTTGCCTTGATGACAGCTTTTCACACTCTTGGCATTCTCTCAACCAGCTTCATGAGGTAGCCACCTGGAATGCATTTCAATTAACAGGTGTGCCTTCTTAAAAGTTAATTTGTGGAATTTCTTTCCTTCTTAATGCGTTTGAGCCAATCAGTTGTGTTGTGACAGGGTAGGGGTGGTATACAAAAGATAGCCCTATTTGGTACAAGACCAAGTCCATATTATGGCAAGAACAGCTCAAATAAGCAAAGAGAAATGACAGTCCATCATTACTTTAAGACATGAAGGTCAGTCAATCCGGAAAATTCCAAGAACTTTGAAAGTTTCTTCAAGTGCAGTCGCAAAAACCATCAAGCGCTATAATGAAACTGGCTCATGAGGACCGCCACAGGAAAGGAAGACCCAGAGTTACCTCTGCTGCAGAGGATAAGTTCATTAGAGTTACCAGCCTCAGAAATTGCAGCCCAAATAAATGCTTGACAGAGTTCAAGTAACAGACACATCTCAATATCAATCAGGCCTTCATGGTCGAATTGCTGCAAAGAAACTACTACTAAAGGACACCAATAATAAGAAGAGACTTGCTTGGGCCAAGAAACACGAGCAATGGATATTAGACTGGTGGAAATCTGACCTTTGGTCTGATGAGTCCAATTTTGAGATTTTTGGTTCCAACCGCTGTGTCTTTGTGAGACGCAGAGTAGGTGAACGGATGATCCCCGCATGTGTGGTTCCCATCATGAAGCATAGAGGAGGAGGTGTGATTGTGAGGGGGTGCTTTGCTGGTGACACTGTCTGGGATTTATTTAGAATTCAAGGCACACTAACCAGCATGGCTACCACAGCATTCCATCTGGTTTGTGCTTAGTGGGACTATCATTTGTTTTTCAACAGGATAATGACCCAACACACCTCCAGGCTGTGTAAGACCTATTTGACCAAGAAGGAGAGTGATGGAGTGCTGCATCAGATGACCTGGCCTCCACAATCACCCGACCTCAATCCAGTTGAGATGGTGTGGGATGAGTTGGACCGCAGAGTGAAGGAAAAGAAGCCAACAAGTGCTCAGCATATGTGGGAACTCCTTCAAGACTGTTGGAAAAGCATTCCAGGTGAAGCTGGTTGAGAGAATGGCAAGAGTGTGCAAAGCTGTCATCAAGCTGTCATCATGTCTTCACTATTATTTTACAATGTAGAAAATAGTAAAAATAAAGAAAAACCCTTGAATGAGTAGGTGTTCTAAAACTTTTGAACGGTAGTGTATATATATACACACTACCGTTAAAAAACATGGCAACATTTATCTGAAACGAAGAACAAGTCCATACTGACGAAATTCAATAATAATAATCAATTATACTTATTATAACCAGGTTCCCATTCAATATGTACATTACATTCGGATGCATTATTATTTCCCATTGCAGGTTACTAAAAAGTAGACATTCCTACTTTTGTTTATTCAGAAAGAGCCTATGGTTCCTGTTCTGACCATAACGTGCAAATAGTCCTACAATAATCATATGCATACATGCAATAATAAAGATACATAAATGTCTTAGGGATTTAAGGCCAGTAAATGTATTGTCCTACAATAGAGAAACCTTGCGTGAAGCAGCTTAAGGTTTGACTTGACCTACAGCCAGTAGTTATAACCTGCTACTGGCTTTCCATTGTAGAGGTGATTAGCCCTGTTGATGTATAGCCTTTATCTGATTAACATGACCCCAGCTAATCAGAATGAGTGAAACCGGAAGCCTGGAAGTGTGTGATTGTAGAAGATGGCAATGTACACAGCAGTAATTGTTATGAGGCCAATTGAAACTCCATTGTTTCCGTAGTGAGGGGTGAGTGGTGGGGGGACATAGAGCACACGAGCTGTGTATAAGTGGGTGTCTTGTGGCCAAAGTTGTGTATATTATTGTGTCTTAGGTAGTATTGTAGTTTGGGTATAGCTAGTTGTCTGGGGGCCAGGGGTACATTAGAGATGACAGTAGTTGTCTGGGGGCCAGGGGTACATTAGAGATGACAGTAGTTGTCTGGGGGCCAGGGGTACATTAGAGATGACAGTAGTTGTCTGGGGGCCAGGGGTACATTAGAGATGACAGTAGTTGTCTGGGGGCCAGGGGTACATTAGAGATGTCAGTAGTTGTCTGGGGGCCAGGGGTACATTAGAGATGACAGTAGTTGTCTGGGGGCCAGGGGTACATTAGAGATGACAGTAGTTGTCTGGGGGCCAGGGGTACATTAGAGATGTCAGTAGTTGTCTGGGGGCCAGGGGTACATTAGAGATGACAGTAGTTGTCTGGGGGCCAGGGGTACATTAGAGATGACAGTAGTTGTCTGGGGGCCAGGGGTACATTAGAGATGTCAGTAGTTGTCTGGGGGCCAGGGGTACATTAGAGATGACAGTAGTTGTCTGGGGGCCAGGGGTACATTAGAGATGACAGTAGTTGTCTGGGGGCCAGGGGTACATTAGAGATGACAGTAGTTGTCTGGGGGCCAGGGGTACATTAGAGATGACAGTAGTTGTCTCTGGGCCAGGGGTACATTAGAGATGTCAGTAGTTGTCTCGGAGCCAGGGGCGGCTGCGGTGGCGGTTGTTGCGCTGGTTGTGCCCCTGCTGGGCATCACGCTGGAGCAGCCGGTCCTGTGACTCATGCCCGTTGGCGCTGTGGACGCCCCCGGGGTGCCCGCGGTGAGGGTGGTACCTGTCCCTGTAAGTTTGGGCGTGGCAGGGAGACTCGAACTCATCCTCCTCCTCATCTAGTTCCTCTTCTAATTCCTCCACCAGCTCTTCCTCCTCCTTGTCCTCCTCACCCCCCCGGAGGGGTGGGGGTGGGCCCTCCCGGGGTGGGCCCTCCCTGAGGCCGCGGGACAGGGAGTCACTGCCCTCTTCAGACAGCATCAGGCTGTCCTGCTCCAGGGTGGAGTGGGCCTCCTCCCCTACCTCCTCCTCACCCTCCACCCCCACACCGCCATGCTGCACTGGAGGCTGGTTCTTATTCTGGGTCTGGGGTTTGTTGTTGGAGAGAGGGGGGGGCGAGATTAAATGAGAGCTCCATCACAGTATCCGGGGCAGCTTCCAAAAGTAGCCTCCTCGTCTATTATTATCCTCATCACACCAAAGAAGCTACAACTGGTGGGCGCAGCAAACATAAGACTAACAGACAGATGATAATACTCTACACAAAGGAAATAGCACTGATGACAGTGGAACAGTTACAAGGATTCCATGGTATTACAGTGTTAATACAGTCTCTTAAATTAGTGGCATGTTTTGCATTGACATTTGTTTATGTTCTGAACCAATCACCTTGAACACACCTCTTAACAATATACTTTCAACTGGAGCAATCTCAACATTTACATTTACATCATTTAGCAGACGCTCTTATCCAGAGCGACTTACAAATTGGTGTATTCAACTTATGATAGCCAGTGGGACAACCACTTTGTTTTATTTTTTTTAATGGGGGGTGGGGGAAGAAGGATTATTTTATACTATTCCAGGTATTCCTTAAAGAGGTAGGGTTTCAAGTGTCTCCGGAAGGTGGTCAGTGACTCCGCTGTCCTGGCGTCGTGGGGGAGCTTGTTCCACCATTGGGGTGCCAGAGCAGCGAATAGCTTTGACTGGGCTGAGCGGGAACTGTGCTTCCGTAGAGGTAGCTAGCAGGCCAGAGGTGGATGAACGTAGTGCCCTCGTTTGGGTGTAGGGTCTGATCAGAGCCTGAAGGTAAGGAGGTGCCGTTCCCCTCACAGCTCCGTAGGCAAGCACCATGGTCTTGTCGTAGATGCGAGCCTCAACTGGAAGCCAGTGGAGTGTGTGGAGGAGCGGGGTGACATGAGAGAACTTGGGAAGGTTGAACACCAGACGGGCTGCAGCATTCTGGATAAGTTGTAGGGGTTTAATGGCACAGGCAGGGAGCCCAGCCAACAGCGAGTTGCAGTAATCCAGACGGGAGATGACAAGTGCCTGGATTAGGACCTGTGCCGCTTTCTGTGTAAGGTAGGGTCGTACTCTGCAAATGTTGTAGAGCATGAACCTGCAGAATCGGGTCACCGCTCAACAATTAAATTGTTTATGAATTGTTTAGACGTACTTCCATTTTTTTAACGCAAGCCAAAGGTTTCATTCAGTGTAGCATTCTGTGTCAGCGTGAGAGGGTGTGCCATTCAAAAAGCATGAGTCTGGTCATGGAACAGGTCCATTTGTTTACAGCAGATATCTAATACATCCACTGTGTGCATTATAACATATATGCCATTTATCAGACATTATGACATTCTTATTATTACACTTTGTTTAATATAGCATGTTACCTAGCATGTTACCCTGTCAAGCCCTGAACCTGTGGCTGCTTTGCGGATTTCATCATAGAATCCTTGAAGCTTGTAGCACAGTGTCAAACAAATATGCAGGGGCTTGGAGGTGGCAGGTGGATAAGAGATGGGACGGAGTCTAGATACCTTAGGTATTAATGACTTTTGTGTGTGGAGGAGAGTTTATTGTGTGAGAGGGAAATAAGACACATTGGTTGATCTTATTCCACCAAGTGTGGTTGGTGTAGGGTGGTGGGGTGGTGGGGTTAAGGAGGGCAGGGGAGAAGTAATGCACATACAGAAACCCTCCTACTCACCCCGTTTGGTAAGCGCTCATTCAATTAATTCCTGTGTTTCAGAAAACTGCAAAAACGTTAAGCAGGGATGAGTGAGAGGACGGATGGACAGACAGATGGACAGACAGACATGGGAGGGGAGAGGGGGAATCTGGCATAGTACTGTAAGAGCTGGTAAGGACAGATGCAACACAACAACCACATAAAGACCCCCCTCCTCTAAAGAAACTCCTCACTATCCCATAATCTGTCCTCTTTCCATTCTCCCCTCTCCAACTATCTCTGTTCCTCTCCACCTTAACCCTCCATCCATATGGAAGCATCTCACCTGTAGGCTAGAGATGGATGAGGACGGGATCATGAGGTTCTGCTCCAATAGCACGTTGATAGGGGTGGTGCCGGGAAGATGAGTGGCACGCCAGTAGACTTCTAGGTATTCAGCCAAGTGCTGACATGCATCCTCCAATTGGTTCTCATCCAGAATTACATCAAACATCTCCTATGAGGGAACAGTGGGAGGGTAAACAAAGTCAGACAGTTGATTGGGTTGTAATGGTGAATAGTACTGTATGGTGGGGCAGCAGGTAGCCTAGCGGTTAAGAGCGTTGGGCCAGTAACCAAAAGGTACAAATCTGTCGATGTTCCCCTTGAGCAAGGCACTTAACACTAATTGCTTCTGTAACTTGCTCTGGATAAGAGCGTCTGATAAATGACTAAAACTTAAAATGTGTCCACTTACAGGGGGGCATTGAGATAGCTTGTCCCCAGCCATCATCTGCACGTTCAGGTGTTTGCTCTGAGACTTCCCCCGGGACTTGATCAGCCTCTGGAGCACCTGAGAGAGAGTGGGGAGGAGAGACAGGGAGAGAGGGAGATAGAGGGAGAAGGTAGCTTTATAAAGGCTTAATAAAGAAGACAAATTCAAAAGATGAAAATATATCTTCATATATCCTCAATGAGGCCCACTTACACTACATCTGCAGGACACGTATGAGGTGACTGATTGTGTCTATGTACCTTTGGTGAGGAAACTTTGACGTAAACGATGATTGGGGCCAGGGAAGTCTTGGCTAGCTGGGCCGGGTGGTTGATGGTGTCTGCATCCAGAACCACCAGCTGCAGGGTTTTGGACAGCTCAAATATCCTCTCTATCTCACTCTGGACCTCAGCTGTAGGGAAGTGAGATACATAACATTACTGTACCTGACCTTCAGATCTATCCATGCACTCTGGCCGCTTAACACATTTCGTAATAGTGTTAACATGAGCAAATGTGTATGTTAAAGTGAATGTGTGTGTGTGTGCGTGTGTGTGTGCATGCGTGAGTACTCACCCAGGCTGGAGCGAGTATTGGATCTCTCCATGATGGGCCTCTTGTTGAGGACAGATGTCTTGGCTAGAGAAAGGTCTGCCGTGATGCGTGTAATGGAGATTCTGCAGGCGTCCAAAACGAAACATGATAAACACACAGAAAATAACACAAATACGCTGCTTATAGACACTACAGATAGAAGACCACAGTGGTAAATGTGATGAAGATTCAGAAAGGGATCAAACAGAGAGCAAGCAAACAAAAGAACACTTTTGTCATAGATGTACATAAAATAGAGAAGTAAACAACTAACTACATTAATGAGCAGCTGTAGGTTAATCATGATGCCTGTCTATACTAACCTTCCATCAAACCTGTGTTTCAGGAAGTCAAACAGAGCTTTCTGCATCATATCTGTCACCTGAGAGAGGGTAGAGAAAGATAAAGAGAGAGAAAGAGAGAGAAAGGTCTTGGATACACACATATCATTGTCAAAGAAACTAGCTAAGCATTAGGGTAAAAAACATACAACTTTACCCCAGTATCTCTAACTCTAAGCCTCCAGCTTCAACATGCATACTTGGCAAAACAATAAACAAGTGTATGTGAGAAATCCTCTTCCCTAAATAAGCATACTTTGAAATGTATTGAATTTGAACCCTAGATCAAATAAACATCACACAGCAGCTAAATATAGATCAATGAATTAGCCATGTTTGGTGTTAATTCCACTGTCTGAATTAGATATTATTCAGCTGTGGAGCAGAGAGAGAAATGTGAATGTGAATCCGTATCACTAGTTGGAGCAGACTAGAGGTTGCCCCTAACTGGTTTTAGGAAAGTGTTTCTCAACCAACCGTTACCTCAGATGGTTAGCTTAGCTGACACCCATTTAGTCAAATCTCAGGTGTAATTCGGTCCCCCAAGGAAGAAGGACCATAGTTTGTCTGCCCCTGGTAGAGAAACACTGTTTTAGGCCTTACTGGAAGGGAGCCAGAGAGAGAGACGTTTACCTCATAGCCCTTCAGTGACGGTCCTACTAAGACCACCGGCCGCATAGATGGGACCACGTCATATGGAGGAATGTGTTCCTGTATGAAAGAAGAGCCAGATACCAAGAGAAAGAGAGAGTGTCAATCAAAGCTAGAAGTTCCTATAATTGGTTAAAAATCACACCCTGTAAGGCAGGTTCATGCTTGTATCAGAGAAGACTACATGATAAAAATCTACCTGCATTTGCTTCTGTTTGTCTTTTGAAAACAAGAGAATTACAATCAGTGACATAAGACATTATATCAGTGAGTGAGAAGAAAGATCAAGATTGAGGTGATAATACAATATTACATTCCTGTGGAAAAGGTCTGATGTTGTAATACTTCTACTTACCACCAGATGGTGACGTGGTCCTCCAGCTCCCAGACACCATGTCACCCAAACTAGAGGAAGAGTTCCCCCCTGTTTTCCTGCACAACAGCAGAGAGGAAGATGCGAAGCGAGAGGTGTTATTTACTCTGCCCAAAATCTGTCCACGAATATAAGCCCACGAAGTAAGGCATTTTTGTATGGAGGTCAATGAGAGAGTGTTGACTTTGGTCAACAAAAAATGTAATTGCTAATTTGCTATTTGAGGCTTATTTGATTGAATAGAAGTTTTCTAATGTTTACGTGGTAACGAATGCACTGATATAAGTAGACGCTCGTGTCAAAATTGTCAAAGACTCCAGCTTCTCTCATAGACTGTTCTCTCTGCTACCGCACGGCAAGCAGTAACGTTGCACCAAGTCTGGAACCAACCGGACCCTGAACAGCTTCTACCCCCAAGCCATAAGACTGCGAAATAGTTAACCAAATAGCTACCCGGACTATCTGCATTGACCCCCCTTTGCACTCTTTTGACTCATCACATACGCTACTGCTGCTTATTATCTATCCTGTTGTCTAGTCACTTTACCTCTAACTGTATTTACATATCTACCTCAATTCCCTCATACCCCTGCACACCGACTCGGTACTGGTACCCTGTGTATATAGCCAAGTTATCGTTACTCATTGTGTATTTATTCATGTTATTATCTTTCTATTATTTAAAAATGTTTCTCTCTGCATTGTTGGGAAGGGCCCGTAAGTAAGCATTTCACTGTTATTCTACACCTGTTGTTTATGAAGCATTACAAATACAATTTGATTTGAGTTTACCTGATCTCACCTCCTGCTGCCTGCCTTTCATCTTTGAGGACATGTATTTCCATTGTTAGAGCAGTCACTTGACTATCTTGTCAATATAATAGACAATCTTTGACAACAGACAAATCAGAACAAAGGTCAGGGGTTACAGCCTGGGTCATAGTTGGGGTTTAAGGTTACTGTTATGGTTATGATGTTAAGGCTTAAGTGTAAAGAAGGCCAGTTCAATGTTAGTGTGAGGACACAATACAATATTACATTGTGCCCCCGATATTCCCTAGATGTCCCAAATTCTTACAAACATCAGGACATCGTATGAACACAACATTTGTGGCAAGAATTGTGTATAATGTAACTTTAGTGTTAGTTTTGGTTCACCTTTGTTTCTGCACGTGTTTGAGTCTCATAGCTTCCAGGCGTAGAGGGCTGGGGATGAAGGTGATGTCTGCCCCCTCCTTCACCAGATGACCAATCCACCAGTCATTATTGTACTTCTGTTACAATACAACATAACTCAACATTACACCATGAAACACATCAGGAGTGACAGGAAGAGGAGTGAGAGGAAGATGAGTGAGATGATGAGGGGAGAGAGGAAGAGGAGTGAGAGGATGAAGGGAGAGAGGAAGAGGAGTGAGAGGACAAGGAGTGAGCGGATGAAGGGAGAGAGGAAGAGGAGTGAGAGGACAAGGAGTGAGCGGAAGAAGGGAGAGAGGAAGAGGAGTGAGAGGACGAGGAGTGAGCGGATGAAGGGAGAGAGGAAGAGAAGTGAGAGGACAAGGAGTGAGCGGATGAAGGGAGAGAGGAAGAGGAGTGAGAGGACAAGGAGTGAGTGGAAGAAGGGAGAGAGGAAGAGGAGTGAAGGACGAGGAGTGAGCGGAAAGAAGGGAGAGGAAGAGGATGAGAGGACAAGGAGTGAGCGAAGAAGGAGAAGAGGAAGAGGAGTGAGAGGACGAGGAGTGAGCGGATTGAAGGGAGAGAGGAAGAGAAGTTTAGAGGACAAGGGGTGAGCGGAAGAAGGAGAGAGGAAGAGGAGTGAGAGGACGAGGAGTGAGCGATGAAGGGGGAGGAAGAGGAGTGAGAGGACAAGGAGTGAGCGGATGAAGGGAGAGAGGAAGAGAGTGAGAGGACAAGGAGTGAGCGGATGAAGGGAGAGAGGAAAGGAGTGAGAGGACAGGAGTGAGCGTAAGAAGGGAGAGAGGAAGAGGAGTGAGAGGACAAGGAGTGAGCATAAGAAGGGAGAGAGGAAGAGGAGTGAGAGGACGAGGAGTGAGCGGATGAAGGGAGAGAGGAAGAGGAGTGAGAGGACGAGGAGTGAGCGGATGAAGGGAGAGAGGAAGAGGAGTGAGAGGACGAGGAGTGAGCGGATGAAGGGAGAGAGAAGAGGAGTGAGAGGGCAGGAGTGAGCGGAAGAAGGGAGAGAGGAAGAGGAGTGAGAGGACGAGGAGTGAGCGGATGAAGGGAGAGAGGAAGAGGAGTGAGAGGACCCAAGGAGTGAGCGGAAGAAGGAGAGAGGAAGAGAGTGAGAGGACGAGGAGTGAGCGGATGAAGTGGAGAGAGGAAGAGGAGTGAAAAGGACAAAGGAGTGAGCGGAAGAAGGGGAGAGAGGAAGAGGAGTGAGAGGATGAGGAGTGAGCGGATGAAGGGAGAGAGGAGAGGAGTGAGAGGACAAGGAGTGAGCGGAAGAAGGGAGAGAGGAAGAGGAGTGAGAGGACGAGGAGTGAGCGGATGAAGGGAGAGAGGAAGAGGAGTGAGAGGACAAGGAGTGACGCGAAGAGGGAGAGGGAAGAGTGAGAGGACGAGGAGTGAGCGGATGAAGGGAGAGAGGAAGAGGAGTGAGAGGACAAGGAGTGAGCGGATGAAGGGAGAGAGGAAGAGGAGTGAGAGGACAGGAGTGAGTGGAAGAAGGGAAGAGGAAGAGGAGTGAGAGGACAAGGAGTGAGCGGATGAAGGGAGAGAGGAAGAGATTGAGAGGACAAGGAGTGAGCGGAAGAAGGGAGAGAGGAAGAGGAGTGAGAGGACAAGGAGTGAGCGGATGAAGGGAGAGAGGAAGAGGAGTGAGCGGAAGAAGGGAGAGAGGAAGAGGAGTGAGAGGACGAGGAGTGAGCGGATGGAAGGGAGAGAGGAAGAGGAGTGAGAGGACAAGGAGTGAGCGGAATGAAGGGAGAGAGGAAGAGGAGTGAGAGGACAAGGAGTGAGCGGAAGAAGGGAGAGAGGAAGAGGAAGGGGAGAGGACGAGGAGTGAGCGGATGAGGAGAGAGGGAAGAGGAGTGAGAGGACAAGGAGTGAGCGGATGAAGGGAGAGAGGAAGAGGAGTGAGAGGACAAGGAGTGAGCGGAAGAAGGGAGAGAGGAAGAGGAGTGAGAGGATGAGGAGTGAGCGGATGAAGGGAGAGAGGAAGAGGAGTGAGAGGACAAGGAGTGAGCGGATGAAGGGAGAGAGGAAGAGGAGTGAAGAGGACGAGGAGGGAGCGGTATGAAGGGAGAGAGGAAGAGAAGTGAGAGGACAAGGAGTGAGCGGAAGAAGGGAGAGAGGAAGAGGAGTGAGAGGATGAGGAGTGAGCGGAAGAAGGGAGAGAGGAAGAGGAGTGAGAGGACAAAGAGTGAGCGGAAGAAGGGAGAGAGGAAGAGGAGTGAGATGATGAGGTGAGAACGGAAGAGGAGTGAGAAGAAGAGTGGAGCCCGGAAGAGGAGTGAGATGAAGTGGGGAGAACGTAAGAGGTGTGTTCTCCCCTTTTGAGGAGTGTTCCTCACCTCCTTAATGTGTAGGAAATCTTTGGCTTCGAAGTTGATTGCAGCTCCTTCAACAGGACAGTCGCCATCTAGAGCTCCACAGTAACTCACATTGGTCTTTACTGCAAACGCTACAAGTTTAGACTGCAGGCACAGCAAACATTAACGTTTCAATTAGTGTTGCCAATAGTGTGTGTGTGTGTGGGCATGAATTAGTATTAACAGTGTGTGTGTGTGTGTGTGTGTGTGTCTGTGTGTGCATGCGTTCCTGCAGTATGTACACTACCTGTCAAAAGTTTTAGAACACCTACTCATTCAAGGGTTTTTATTTATTTTTACTATTTTCTACATTGTAGAATACTAGTGAAGACATCAAAACTATGAAATAACACATATGGATTCATGTATTAACCAAAAAAGTGTTAAACAAATCAAAATATATTTTATATTTGAGATTCTTCAAATAGCCACCCTTTGCCTTGATGACAGCTTTGCACACTCTTGGCATTCTCTCAACCAGCTTCATGAGGTAGTCACCTGGAATGCATTTGAATTAACAGGTGTGCCTTCTTAAAAGTTAATTTGTGGAATTTCTTTCCTTCTTAATGTGTTTGAGCCAATCAGTTGTGTTGTGACAAGAAGATAGCCCTATTTGGTAAAAGTCCAAGTCCATATTATGGCAAGAACAGCTCAAATAAGCCAAGAGAAATGACAGTCCATCATTACTTTAAGACAAGAAGGTCAGTCAATACGGAACATTTCAACGTTTCTTCAAGTGCAGTCGCAAAAACCATCAAGCGCTATAATGAAACTGGCTCTCATGAGGACCGCCACAGGAATGGAAGACCCAGAGTTACCTATTCTTCAGAGGATAAGTTCATTAGAGTTACCAGCCTCAGAAATTGCAGCCCAAATAAATGCTTCACAGAGTTCAAGTAACAGACTGTCACGGTTTTCTAAGCCAGAACCCAGAAGCAGACCAGGACAAGGTGAGTTGAACGAAGGTGAGTATTTATTAACAGATTCAAAAAAACGATGCAGAATAATCCAGGGGACAGAGCGGGTGGCGGAGATGAGTTGGTGGAGGTGAAGTGGCAGATCCAATGATGGCTCGGCAGCCGCCGACAACCAGGCAGGGGTTGGGTGAAGGTTCCGGGAGACACATCTCAACATCAACTATTCAGAGGAGACTGTGTGAATCAGGCCTTCATGGTCGAATTTCTGCAAGAAACCACTACTAAAGGACACCAATACGAACAAGAGACTTGCTTGCGCCAAGAAACACGAGCAATGGACATTAGACCAGTGGAAATTTGTCCTTTGGTCTAGAGTCCAAATTGGAGATTTTTGGTTCCAGACGCTCTGTCTTTGTGAGATGCGGTGTGGGTGAACGGATGATCTCCGCATGTGTATTTCCCACCGTAAAGCATGGAGGAGGAGGTGTTATGGTGTGGGGGTGCTTTGCTGGTGACACTGTCTGTGATTTATTTAGAATTCAAGGCACACTGACAGTGGCTTGCGAAAGTATTCACCCCCCTTGGCATTTTTTCCTGTTTTGTTGCCTTACAACCTGGAATTAAAATTGATTTTTGGGGGGTTTGTATCATTTGATTTACACAACATGCCTACCACAAACAAGAAAACTTGACCGTGCATAACTATTCACCCCCCTAAAGTCAATACTTTGTAGAGCCACCTTTTACAGTAATTACATCTGCAAGTCTCTTGGGGTATGTCTCTATAAGCTTGGCACATCTAGCACTGGGATTTCTGCCCATTCTTCAAGGCAAAACTGCTCCAACTCCTTGAAGTTGGATGGGTTCCACTGGTGTACAGCGATCTTTAAGTCATACCACAGATTCTCAAATGGATTGAGGTCTGGGCTTTGACTAGGCCATTCCAAGACATTTCAATGTTTCCCCTTAAACCACTCGAGTGTTGCTTTAGCAGTATGCTTAGGGTTATTGTCCTGCTGGAAGGTGAACCTCCGTCCCAGTCTCAAATCTCTGGAAGGCTGAAACAGGTTTCCCTCAAGAATTTCCCTGTATTTAGCGCCATCCATCATTCCTTCAATTCTGACCAGTTTCCCAGTCCCTGCCGATGAAAAACATCCCCATAGCATGATGCTGCCACCACCATGCTTCACTGTGGGGATGGTGTTCTCGGGGTGATGAAAGGTGTTGGGTTTGCGCCAGACATAGCATTTTCCTTGATGGCAAAAAAGCTCAATTTTTGTCTCATCTGACCAGAGTACCTTCTTCCATATGTTTGGGGAGTCTCCCACATGCCTTTTGGCAAACACCAAACGTGTTTGCTTATTTTTTTCTTAAAGCAATGGCTTTTTTCTGGCCACCCTTCCGTAAATCCCAGCTCTGTGGAGTGTACGGCTTAAAGTGGTCCTATGGACAGGTACTCCAATCTCCGCTGTGGAGCTTTGCAGCTCCTTCAGGGTTATCTTTGGTCTATTTGTTGCCTCTCTGATTAATGCCCTCCTTGCCTGGTCCGGGCGTTTTGGTGGTTGGCCCTCTCTTGGTACATTTGTTGTGGTGCCATATTCTTTCCATTTTTTAAAATCATGGATTTAATGGTACTCCGTGGGATGTTCAAAGTTTTTTATATTTTTTTATAACCCAACCCTGATCTGTACTTCTCCACAACCTTGTCCCTGACCTGTTTGCAGAGCTCCTTGGTCTTCATGGTGCCGCTTGCTTGGTGGTGCCCCTTGCTTAGTGGTGTTGCAGACTCTGGGGCCTTTCAGAACAGGTGTATATATACTGAGATCATGTGACACTTAGATTCCACACAGGTGAACTTTATTTAACTAATTATGTGACTTATGAAGGTAATTGGCCACACCAGATCTTATTTAGGGGCTTCATAGCAAAGGGAGTGAATACATATGCACGCACCACTTTTCCGTTATTAATTTTTTTGACTTTTTTGAAACAAGTAACTTTTTTCATTTCACTTCACCAATTTGGACTATTTTGTGTATGTACATTACATGAAATCCAAATAAAAATCCATTTAAATTACAGGTTGTAATGCAACAAAATAGGAAAAACACCAAGGGGGATGAATACTTTTGCAAGGCACTGTAACCAGCATGGCTACCACAAAATTCTGCAGCGATACGCCTTCCCATCTGGTTTGGGCTTAGTGGGACTATCATTTGGTTTTCAACAGGACAATGACCAAACACACCTCCATGCTGTGTAAGGGCTATTTTACCAAGAAGGAGAGTGATGGAGTGCTGCATCAGATGACCTGGCCTCCACAATCCCCCGACCTCAACCAAATTGAGATGGTTTGGGATGAGTCGGACCTCAGAGTGAAGGAAAAGCAGCCAACAAGTGCTCAGCATATGTGGGAACTCCTTCAAGACTGTTGGGAAAGTATTCCAGGTGAAGCTGGTTGAGAGAATGCCAAGAGTGTGCAAAGCTGTCATCAAGGCAAAGGGTGGCTATTTGAAGAATCTCAAATCTCAAATATATTTTGATTTGTTTAACACTTTTTTGGTTACTACATGATTCCATATGTGTTATTTCATAGTTTTGATGTCTTCACTATTATTCTGCAATGTAGAAAATGGTACAAATAAAGAAAAACTCTTGAATGAGTAGGTGTTCTAAAACTTTTGACCGGTAGTGTATATTTTTGTGTGCGTGTGTCATAACAAAACTCACCTTAGCTCTGTGGAGCTGGATCTGGGCCTGGCGCTCGGCTTCACGCCGATACGCCTCACGGTCCTCCTCTGCTGACAGGTCGGAATCCGACGGTCTACTGGTGTACGAATCAGCCGACCCCTGGAGAGGCAGAGGAGAGGCGGAGAGGAGAGAGAGGGTAAATTTGTTGTGAGACAAATATAGAGGTGGTTGTGGTTGATTTCAGGACAGGGGTCAGAGGAACCATTTACAAAGGCAGCCTTTCTCTTTCACAGACATAGGTACACACATGCCTGCACGCACACACACACATAGACGTGAACTTACTGCATCCCTTTCCTGCTGTTATCTAAATAGTGGTGTGGTGATGGTCATAGATCACACAAAAAATAGCCTGAGCACACAGAGCCGTGTTCTACTGCTGTGTCATATTGGTGGTAATATACACACTCTAAATCATCCTATTTTCTCTTTCTTGGATTTCTCTCTTCCTCTTCATCATCCAATGTCTGTCATGGTTTCTCTACCTCTCACAAGCTCCCTGCTCTCCTATATTTGGCTCCTATAAGAAACTCAGCCCTGATTCTGTCAACACTACAGAACGCTGCGGCGAACAAAGCTGTCCGGACAGGGAACAAGAAGAGGAGAGAGAGAGAAGGATAGAGAGAGAGCGAGAAGAGAGAGAGAAGAGAGAGAGAGGAGATAGCGAGAGATAGATAGAGAGATAGAGAGAGAGAGAGAAGGGTGAGATAGGAGAGATAGAAACGGTGTTTGATGATGCGAGATAGCTCTCGAGACGTCTCCAGAAAGTTTTGATTAAGAGAGATCTTCGAGAGCTCCCTACATGGGGTTTCTCTCTCTCGCGCTCGATCTCTCTCTCTCTCCTCTCTCGCGCGGATCGCTCTTTCTCCTTTTTTGTTTCTCTCTAGCTCTCTCTGCTCTCCGCTCCCTCTCTCTCCTGGCCCCCTTTTTTCACCTTGGGGAGGAGAGAAACACTTTGGGGCTTTATGAACCTCTATGTGCTGATGTGTGTTTTAATGTAAGATTTTTTTAATACAAATAGCATTTCAAGAATATTGCCGTTTTGATTTTGTCCAAAGTTACGGTTAGCAATTACAGGTAAATTGATAAACACACTTTCTTTAACCTCAAAGTCACCTTGCATTGTTGTTTTTAGCTGTATAGATTATGTATTTTGGACGCTTTCAGACAATGTGATTAAAAACAATTGTGTACTAAAATTACAAAAAGTTAACTTGAGTTAACTGATTAACTCTGACAGCGCTAATTTTAACATGTTAAAACGAGAAATAAGAGACATGGAGGGCTAGCTTCTCTGTTCTTTTCACTGGGCTTCTTCAAACGGTCACAGACCAACGTATGAAGAAGAGAGGCGTGCGCCTGCAGCAGTAACACTCCGAATGGATGGCTTAATAATATATTTTTTAACACACTTCAATTATTATACTCACTACTCAGGTAGGCTAAGTTACCTTTTTACAGAATGGCATTACAGAATTTGCAATTCCATATGTGGAAACATTGCTACTGAAACATGTTAACACCACCTCTTCACATGTGAGGAGAATAACACCATTTCAACTCCACATGTAACTGTTATTTTGATTTTCACATATGATTGTTTTTCACAAGGGAACTTGCAATTCCACCTGTGAACGTGAGATTTTCACATGAGAAAGTTTTTCACATGTGAAAGTTTTAAAATGTGAAACAGCAAATTTCACATATGCAACTGCAATTCACATGAGGTAAAAAGGTGGTGTTAACATGTAAACTAAATTTAACACGTGGAAATATTAAACTGCAAATTTGACATGTGTTTTTTTTTGTAAGGGGAAGGACAGAGTGAGGAGGTGGGGGAGGAAGAGAGGGAAGGATAGACAGAGACATACATTAAAGAAAAAATACACAGAGATGAGCAAAGGGGAAAAGAGAAAAGAGAGAGATGCATTCAAAGATAACACTAAAGGAGATGTGCAGGGACAGAGACATAGCAAGAAAGGGATGGATGGAGGGAGTGTGAGAAGAGAGAAAAAAAAGGGTAGGATAGAGATTAGAGCACAATAAAACACACATACACACACACACAAGATGGCACTGCAGTGGATAGCTGCCGTCTTACGGGCTCCTGACCGATTCTGCTATTCTGTGTGTTTTTTTTACGCTGATCTTAACTTCTTCTGTACATAATGTTGCTGCCATCATTTCCTATGACCGAAAACAGCTTCTGGACATCAGAACAGCATCAGCGATCACTAACCTTGATTTGGATGAACACATGTACATGAGTCGGCAGCTCTGGATATTATGCAGGCCCTGATTCCTGGGACTTGCAAGAGGAAGCGGTGGTGAGAGAGGCAGGCGAGGCAGCGTCATTACATTTACATTTACATTTTAGTCATTTAGCAGACGCTCTTATCCAGAGCGACTTACAGGAGCAATTAGGGTTAAGTGCCGTTGCCCAAGGGCACATTACGTCATTTAGCAGACGCTCCTATCCAGAGCGACTTACAAATTGTGTGCTTCATTCACCCTATAGCCAGTGGGATAACCACTTAAATTTTATTTTTAATTTTTTATTTTTTTGGGGGTGGTGGGGGGGGGGGGGGGGGGGGGTTGTGGTGTTTGTTTTTTTTTTTTTTGTATTTTTGTTTTTTTTTGGGTTTTTCTTTTTTTTTTTTTTTTTTTTTTTCTTTTTTTTCTTTTTTTTTTTTTTGTTTCTTTTTTTTTTTTTTTTTTTTTCATTTGTTTTTTTTTTTTTTCTTTTTTTTTTTTCTTTTCTTTGTTTTTTTTTTTTTTTGTTTTTTTCTTTTTTTTTTTGTTTTTTTACTTTTTTTTTTTTTTTTTTTTTTTTTTTTTTTTTTTGGGGGGTGGGTTCTTCTTTTCCTATCCCAGGTATTCCTTAAAGAGGGGGGTTTTTTTTTTTTTTTTTTCATCAAATGTCTCCGGAAGGTGGGTGAGTGACTCCGCTGGTCCTGGCCGTCGTGAGGAGTTGTTTCCACCATTGGGGTGCCATATCAGCGGAACACAGTTTTTATGACTGGGCGTGAGCGGGAACTATGCTTCCGCAGAGGAAGGGGAAACAAGCAGGCCAGAGGTTGGATGAACGCAATGCCCCTCGTTTGGGTGTAGGGACTGATCAGAAGCACCGAAGGTACGGAGGTGCCGTTCCCCCACCTGCCCATAGGCAAGCACCATGGTCTTGTAAACGGATGCGAGCTTTCAACTGGAAGCAGTGGAGTGTGCGGAGGAGGGGGGGTGACGTGAGAGAACTTGGGAAGGTTGAACACCAGACGGGCTGCGGCATTCTGGATGAGTTGTAGGGGTTTAATGGCACAGGCAGGGAGGCCAGCCAACAGCGAGTTGCAGTAATCCAGACGGGAGATGACAAGTGCCTGGATTAGGACCTGTGCCGCTTCCTGTGTAAGGCAGGGTCGTACTCTCCGAATGTTGTAGAGCATGAACCTGCAGGAGCGGGTCACCGCCTTGATGTTAGCGGAGAACGACAGGGTGTTGTCCAGGGTCACGCCAAGGCTCTTCGCACTCTGGGAGGAGGACACAACGGAGTTGTCAACCGTGATGGCGAGATCATGGAACGGGCAGTCCTTCCCCGGGAGGAAGAGCAGCTCCGTCTTGCCAGGGTTCAGCTTGAGGTGGTGATCCGTCATCCATACTGATATGTCTGCCAGACATGCAGAGATGCGATTCGCCACCTGGTTATCAGAAGGGGGAAAGGAGAAGATTAGTTGTGTATCGTCAGCGTAGCAATGATAGGAGAGGCCATGTGAGGATATGACAGAGCCAAGTGACTTGGTGTATAGGGAGAAAAGGAGAGGGCCTAGAACTGAGCCCTGGGGGACACCAGTGGTGAGAGCACTCATGATTAGACTATGTCGGCGAGCATCTAGACTGCCATTGCCCTCTGTTTTGTAGGCGAACATACAATCACTAGAGAACAAACTGGACGAGCTCTGTTCAACACTGTCCTATCAGCGGGACCTGAAGAACTGTAATATCCTATATTTCTCACATTTGTGGCTGAACAAGGACATGGATAATAATTGGGCCGGCAGCATACCACCCTGCATCCCACTGCTGGCTTGCCTCTGAAGCTAAGCAGGGTTGGTCCTGGTCGGTCCCTGGAATATGTTCCGGGATTCATCCGATAAAATCGAGGAGTTTACCACATCAGTCACCGGCTTCATTAATAAGTGCATCGACGACATCATCCCCACAGTGACCGTACGTACGTACATATCCCATGGATTACAGGCAACATCCGCACTGATCTAAAGGCTAGAGTTGCCGCTTTCAAGGAGACACTAATCTGGTGGCCAAAAGATCCCGCTACGACCTCCGACGAGCCATCAAACAGACAAAGCGTCAATACAGGACTAAGATCGAATCCTACTATGCCGGCTCTGATGCTCGTCAGCTGTTACAGGGTTTGAAAACTATCACAGATTACAAAGGGAAACCCAGCCGCGAGCTGCCCAGTGACGCGAGCCTACTAGACGAGCTAAATGCCTGCTATGCTCGCTTCGAGGCAAGCAACACTGAACCATGCATGAGAGCACCAGCAGTTCCGGACGACTGTGTGACAACGCTCTCCGTAGCCGATGTGAGTAGGACCTTTAAACAGGTTAACATTCACAAGGCCGGGGTTCCAGATTAATTACCAGGACGCATACTCAGAGCATGCGCTGACCAGCTGGCAAGTGTCTTCACTGACATTTTCAACCTCTCCCTGACCCAGTCTGTAATACCTACATGTTTCAAGCAGACCATCATAGTCCCTGTGCTTAAGAACGCCAAGGTAACCTGTCTAAATTACTATTGCCCCATAGAACTCACATCTGTAGCCATGAAATGCTTTGAAAGGCTGGTCAGGGCTTACATCAACACCATCTCCCAGACACCCTGGACCCACTCCAATTATCATACCGCCCCAACAGATCCACAGATGACACAATCTCTATTGCACTCCACACTGTCCTCTCCCACCTGGACAAGAGTAACACCTATGTGAGAATGCTGTTCCTTGACTGCAGCGCAGTGTTCAACACCATAATGCCCTCCAAGCTCATCACTAAGCTCAGGACCCTGGGACTGAACACCTCCCTCTGCAACTGGATCCTGGACTTCCTGACGGGCCGCCCCCCAGGTGGAGAGGTAGGCAACAACACATCCACCACGCTGACTCTCAACACGGGTGCCCCTCCGGGGTGCGTGCTTAGTCCCCTCCTGTACTCCCTGTTCACCCACGACTGCATGGCCGCGCACAACTCCAACACCTTCATTAAGTTTGCTGATGACACGATAGTGGTAGGCCTGATCACTGATGACGATGACACCGCCTATAGAGCGGAGGTCAGTGACCTGGCAGTGTGGTGCCAGGACAACAACCTCTCCCTCAACGTCAGCAAGACAAAGGAGCTGATCGTGGACTACAAGAAACGGAGGGCCGAGCACGCCCCCATCCACATCAACGGGGCTGTGGTGGAGCGGGTTGAGAGCTTCAAGTTCCTTGGTGTCCACATCACTAAGGAATTAACATGGTCCAAACACACCAACACAGTCGTGAAGAAGGTATGACAACACTTCTTCCCCCTTAGGAGGCTGGGCCCTCAGATCCTCAAAAAGTTATAAAGCTGCACCATTGAGAGCCCTTTTGATTGGCTGCATCACTGCTTGGTATGGCAAATGCTTGGCATCCTACCGCAAGACGCTACAGAGGGTGTTGCGTATGACCCAGTACGTCACTGGGGCTGAGCTCCCTGCCATCCAAGACGTCTATACCAGGCGGTGTCAGAGGAAGGCCCTAAAATTTTTAAAATAATCCAGCCACCCAAGTCACAGACTGTTCTCTTTTCTACCGCATGGCAAGCAGTACCGATGCACTGGAACCGACAGGACCCTGCTTCTACTAAATAGTTAACCAAATAGATACCTGCATTGACCCTCTTTGCACACTGCATTGAACTCTTTTGACTCATCACATTCGCTGCTGCTACTGTTTTTTATCTATCCTGTTGCCTGGTCACTTTACCCCTACCTATATGTACATATCTACCTCAATTACCTCGTACCCCTGCACATCAACTCGGTAATGGTACCTTGTGTGTATAGCCAAGTTATCGTTACTCATTGTGTATCTATTCCTCGTGTTATTCTTTTTTATATAGTTTACTCTTTGCATTGTTGGGAAGGGCCCGTAAGTAAGCATTTCACTGTTAGTCTACAACTGTGTTTACGAAGCATGTGACAAATATTATTTTATTTTATTTTATTTGACACACACCGTCTTTCTCTTACTCCCTCTCTCCCTATCACTTTCAATTTCATTCATCTTGAAGAATATACAGTGCATTCGGAAAGTATTCAGACCCCTTCACTTTTTCCACATTTTGTTACATTACAACCTTATTCTAAAATGGATGAAACTGTTTTTTTTCCCTCATCAATCTACACACAATAACCCAAAATGAAAAAAAAAAAAAAATATGACAATTCTTGCACATTTATAAAAAAAGATAAACTGAAATATCACATTTACATAAGTATTCAGACCCTTTACTCAGTACTTTGCTGAAGCACCTTTGGCAGTGATTACAGCCTTGAGTCTTCTTGGGTATGACGCTACAAGCTTGGCACACCTGTATTTGGGGAGTTTCTCCCATTCTTCTCTACAGATCCTCTCAAGCTCTGTCAGGTTGAATGGGGAGCGTCGCTGCACAGCTATATCCAGGTCTCTCCAGTGATGTTCGATCGGGTTCAAGTCCGGGCTCTGGCTGGGCCACTCAAAGACATTCAGAGACTTGTCCCCAAGCCACTCTTGTCTTGGCTGTGTGCTTAGGGTCGTTGTCCTGTTGGAAGGTGAACCTTCGCCCCAGTCTGAGGTCCTGAGCACTCTAGAGCAGGTTTTCATCAAGGATCTCTGTACTTTGCTCCGTTCATCTTTACCTTGATCCTGACTAGTCTCCCAGTCCCTACCGCTGAAAAACATCCCCACAGCATGATGCTGCCATCACCATGCTTCACCGTAGGGATGGTGCCAGGTTTTCTCCAGACGTGCCGCTTGGCATTCAGGCCAAAGAGTTCAATCTAGGTTTCATCAGACCAGAGAATCTTGTTTCTCATGGTCTGAGAGTCATTTAGGTGCCTTTAAGCTAAATCCAAGCGCACTGTCATGTGCCTTTTCATGAGGAGTGGCTTCCGTCTGGCCACTCTACCATAAAGGCCTGATTGGTGGAGTGCTGCAGAGATGGTTGTCCTTTTGGAAGGTTCTTCCATCTCCACAGAGGAACTCTGGAGCTCTGTCAGAGTGACCATCGGCTTCTTGGTCCCCTCCCTGACCAAGGCCCTTCTCCCCCGATTACTCAGTTTGGCCTGGCGGCCAGCTCTAGGAAGAGTCTTGGTGGTTCCAAACTTCCTCCATTTAAGAATGATGGAGGCCACTGTGTTCTTGGGGACCTTAAATGCTGCAGAAATGTTTTGGTACCCTTCCCCAGGTCTGTGCCACGACACAATCCTGATTTGGAGTTCTACGGACAATTCCTTCGACCTCATGGCTTGGTTTTTGCTCTGACATGCACTGTCAACTGTGGGACCTTATATAGACAGGTGTGTGCCTTTCCAAATCATGTCCAATCAATTGAATTTACCACAGGTGGACTCCAATCAAGTTGTAGAAACATCACAAGGATGATCAATGGAAACAGGATGCACCTGAGCTCTATTTCGAGTCTCATAGCAATTTTTTTAATTTGCAAACTTTTCTAAAAACCTGTTTTTGCTTTGTCCTTATGGGGATTTTGTGTAGATTGATGAGGAAAATGTTTATTTCATCCATTTTAGAATAAGGCTGTAACGTAAGAAAATGTGGAAAAAGGGAAAGGGTCTGAATACTTTCCAAATGCACTGTAACTTACAGTATAAGCCCTGTACACTTTTACAACCGTCTTACCCTATCATAACCCCAAATCTAAGGTTGTATTACTCCATTGTTAATGTTTCGTTGTCATGTATATGTTGATCTGGCGGAGTATCAACCCTTACATTCATAGCGCCATCTATACATTTGACAAATTAATAAATTTCCTGACAATGTAGCTTGTTCTGTTCCAAACCAAGTGGCGGGGCTGCCGTTTGGCTGAAACCCAGACTCCAGAATTGCAGTTTTTCCCTGTTAATCTCAGTCAGGCTATATTTAGCCTGGACTCCATTCCCCTGTCCTCTGCCTCTCTGTGATTAGTCTTCTAGCCTTCACACCAGAGCTTTTGACCCCCGACTCTACTGGGGGGTGGTGGTGGGTGAGACAGGGTGACAAGGGTATCAGTCATCAGCCAATCAAGTCCTCTGGAGGCCAAAATCATCATCATACACACACGCATACACATGCACGCAGGCACACACACACGTCTTGAAAGATGATGACTCTATGCTGTTTCCAATACGACACAGGCAGGTGCTAATGCAAACTGGGTACATCTGCTTAGTAGTTGTAAAACAGGTGGTTAAGTAAAGGCAGGTTTCTCCTTTAACAGTCAACAAGGCGTACATACACTCATAGATCACAGACCACAGCCACAACAATCACTACCAACTAAGATCTGATCTGAACTGATCTGAAATGGACAACTTATACACTCTTGGAAAAAAGGGTTCCAAAAGGGTTATTCGGCTGTTCCCATAGGAGAACCCCATAGGATAACTCTTTTGGGTTCCAGATAGCACCTTTTTCTCTAGGAGTGTAGTATCCATCATTTTAATTCATGAGGTATTTGGATTCAATGAAAATAATGAAGTAGGAAGCGGAAGAATAAGATGTAAGAGACAGAGAAGAGATGGAGAAACAGAAAGACTAGGGGGCTTCACAGATAAATAGAGATGTGAAGGGAATGAAAGAGAGAAGTGGAGGGAGAGAGATGTGGAGGAGGGGGAGAGGAGAATGAAAGATAAAGAACAGGGAAGATGAGGAGAAAGGCTGATAGAAACAGAAGAGATGGAGAGACATTGAGGAGAGGAGAGGAAGAGAAAGAAATAGAGAGAGGAAGAGATGTGTCCTTACTCATTGTGATGATAGAGCCAGCCTGTCACTCCTCTAGGCTACATGCTGTACTGTACTGTGCTCCTTCCCCGAGCCAGGGAAGACATGCACTGGAACATACTCCTATGATCCCCTATCTCCCTCCTCTCTCTCTCTCTCTCTCTCTCGCTCTCTCTCTGTCTCTCCCTCACACACACACACAGACACACGCACAGACCTTTTGCTGAGAGCTGAAGTACGTCACTTGATCAAATCCACCTCTTTCTCTATGTCTTTGTCTCTCTGTACCTACCTATTATATCCTACCTATTCTATTCTACTGAGCCATTTACTTTGTGTTCGAATTCTTATAATTTCTTATTTCTTATTGTTGTTGCATTGTCGAGAAGGAACCTGCAAGTAATTATTTTGTTGGATGGTGTATACCATGTGTATCCCGTACATACGACTAATAAAACTTGAAACTTGAAACCTACAGTACATTATGTTATGTCATGTTCAGTGTTAACATAGCCCTCCCCTCCCCTCCCCTCCACTCACACACTCTCACAAGAGCATCTGAGAATAGGAACAGATCAGCATTTAACTCCACAGCATTATAAGCAAGATTTCTAACACAGCTATGTCCATGAGAGTGTTTTAAATGTCTATTTCCACTATCAGGTGGTATATATTTCATATACATTGTACATATTAAAAGTATATTGTATTCTACTGCAGCAATGAGTCATACTGCTCCACTATGGGAAGGAACCCCATACCATCCCTATCACAAGGAAAACATAGTCTAACAAAAAAAGTTAATAATTTGTAATATTAAGGTATTATCAAGTGCTAATAAGTAGTGACAACAATCCAACAAATACAGAGCCACTCACACACCACACACACACCACACACCACACACACACATACATGCACACATACAGTACATGCATGCATGCAGGCACGCACGCACGCACACACAAACACAAAAAACACAAATCCCCAATGAGGAAGGTAAGAAGGAGCAATACAGCTGTATTTGTATAGATGTAAGGCGTGAAGCTGATGAGATATAGGAGGTTAAACACACCACCTCACCCTGGCCCTCCAAATGAGTCCCCACTTCTTCGTCAAACGTATTATTATTATTTTGAACGCAACTTCTTAGACTGTTTAAGCTAGAAACATAATTCAAACTTTAAAACGTGCAGAGCGGTCAGGACCAGTGTGCTTGCATACAACTTTTTGATATATTTAATACTTTTTAAACTATTAAGCTTTTTGTCCTTTTTTGTCCATCTTCATTCACTTTCATGGGATTTAGTCAACATTCTAAAGGTCCCATTGTGACATAATCAACTCCCAGACTTCCAACATTCCATTCATTGTGAACAATGATACTTTTGACACAAATCAGCTACTTTGACCACTTTCCGAAACAAGAAATCTTCCTTTACTTCTCACCTCTTCAGATCTGAAATCGTAACAAAAATATCTCCTAGCAATCTAACGATACAGCTGTTTAATAAACTGCATCAACCACATTTCCTCTAACGTTTTATAAACAACTGAAATGTTGACAACTTTTGCAGCACTTTAGACAAAAACTTAGAGGGTATGGCATCTTGGTCTACTTCTCGGCTATTTAAATCAGGAATCAGAACAGAATGATCTTCTACCAATCAAAAGTTACAGCTATTTGTCGGAGTTTAGCGTGACAAAAAGTAGCTAGCTAATGTTAGCTAACAGCTCTCTCATGTTTTGTCATTGAGCAGCCCAAACGGAGCTGTTGCTATGGATACTCACACACACAGAGGAGCGCATGGGGCAGCGCAGGCAAAAATTATGAGGAGGGTGAAGAGGGTGATTGAATTTAGAACAATAGTGTAATAATGATGAAGAATTGTGAACACCAAAATAGCAGCTACAAGGAGGCAGCCAAGGCAACAGCGCATCGTCTTCCTTCTCAGCATCGTGCACCGTGTTCTAAATAACTAAATTGGCTAGTTTGCCTGTCTGTAAAGGGCGGGCTGTATGTTGATCCAGCTGCTCTGATTGGATAGAGTGAAGCTCCCTCCATTGACTGGCTTCTTATTTCACCTATCACTTCTCATCTTATGTTTCGGTCTGATCATTTAGATTGCTGCTGCCTCCTGTTAGCCTGCTACTATGATAAATCAATCGGCGAAGACGTTTGCTAGCAAGCTATCAATGTGCATAATATCTAACAAGTGAAGCAAGAGTAGGGAAAGAAGAAGAAACGCTGATGAGCATTCTGACTGAGTGACAGCAAACTTGTCTGCCTGCTGCATGTTTTGAGGACAGGACACACAGACACATCTCCACACGCTGCTCCTAATCTGCATCTTTATGGGTCTATAAACCTGCAGGGAGATAGGTATTTTGCCAACATCTAGCTACTTAGGCATAATAAAACACTAGCTTCTCCCTGCTAACTGGTGGCTGGCATGCATTCACACACACATTATTCCATTTGCCGAGGGGTGTAAGAATCTACCCCCTGGCTTTTGGCATTCCCTCTGCTCCCATAATCATTGTGAAGAAGAGGCCCCTGAACCACAGTGTTGTTGTCAGTCTTGGACTCATGCACTGTAACCTGATTGAAGCTCTTAACTCTGATTTATCCACATAGAGCTTCTACAGAGGCCAGGGATCCCCTCTACTGGGCCAGGCACTAAACTGCAGCTGCCTGGCTGGTTGCTGCACTGACACGCTTACCAAGCCAGATTCATCACCAGACACAGAGCATGCAGAACCAGGCAATCAAACATACATCAAACATACAGAATGAAATAAAACACCCATACTCCCCATACTGAATTCACTGCATGAAATTATTAGGGTAAAAGAGACCAAAAAGGGTGCTGTTTAGGCGTGGTGATGAATCTAAATTATGTGGCAGTGTTATCTTAACCTTATTTCTCTCTCCTTTTTCTCACCAGTTCTTGAGATTTTCTTAAATAACAGCAAATCTCCACCCCTGCCACTCACGCTTGCTTGACCTGAAAACATTAATTTTAAAAACGGGGCTGGGTTGGGATTTTCATCTAACACACCAATACTGCACTCTATTGGACATGTTGAGAATTACAATACAGAAAAAATTTACTCATACTAGTAAAAGCCAATGAAACCAAATTAAAAGCCTCATAATAAAGACATCACAGAGATTGGTTCCCATAAGACTCGGAAGAAGACAAAGGAAATGGCCACTTTTAAATCTGGAGGCATCCCAAAAACCTTTTTGATACCCTTTCATTTTATTAGTGCTTGTGGAATGTGGTATGAGAGTACTGAATTGACACAAGATCCTTGGTTATGTCATTCACATGGTAACAAGAGATAGTGAAGAACTCTAAAGTTACCTGTCTTTTGATGAAGCTGGAGGTGGTGTCTGAGGACGTGCTGCCATCCGAACGTTTGAACCGACTTTTCCTCTTAGGCAACTTCCTGGGCAGCTTTGGCAGAGGAGAGAGGGATGAGAAAGGAAAGAAAGCAAGAGGGGCAAAGAGAGATGAGACAGGAATCAGACAGGAATCATATAAAAAGACAGGGGGAAAGAAAGGGTATAAACAAAGGTGAGGACAAAGTTATGAGGCAAGAGAACAAAGGGAAGGAGGAGGAGAGAGAGAGTAGTAAGGTAAAGGATGAAAGAGAATGAGAAAAGAAGAGAAGCGAGTGGAAGGGGAAGAGGGGATAGTCGATCGTACAAGATATCTGGCTTTGGCACCATTATTATAAACATTGTTGTCTCTTCACCCTGGAGTAGGCACATCAATGACGGAAGAGGAAGCGAGACATCCCACTCCTTCATTTTTTATGTTTCAATGGAAGTTAATGAACTTAGTAGACCAGACCCAGCTGCTATCACATTGGTGTCTATGGGAGAGCCACCCCCTTAAGTAGACAGGAAATTACCTTTTTTTTCAATGGTAAAAAGCCTGAGTGAACTATTGTAATTTATCCACTTTCTCTTTGGGCACATTCACCAGTGTTATGGCTGCAGTGCAGAGCTATAGATTGGTAGGTTTCACCTAGCCTATTATGCTTTCCTAAAACAAATGGCTTCAGTATATTAATATATTAGTGGCTTCAGTATATATTAATAAGTTATATCATATACATGTTTACGCAAGCATTTCTAAAGATAGAGACTAGAACAAGCCAAGTGCATCCTCAAATCTTCAAATCTACATTTCTCAAATCATACTGTATTGCATGGTGTTGTTCTGGCTGGATATATGTAATTACTGTCTGGCTAATAATAAGTGTGTCTAGTAGCCTAGTGGATCATACAGTGCCTTCAGAAAGTATTCACACCCCTCAACGTTTTCCACAATTTGTTGTGTTACAAAGTGGGATTAAAATGGATTTAATTGTCATTTTTGGTCAACGAGCTACACAAAATACCAGGGGGGCAAAGTAATGTCAAAGTGGAAGACTTATTAAAGATTTATTAAAATTGTATGAAAATAAAACACTTATATATCTTCTTTAGATAAGTATTCAACCCCCTGAGAAAATACATGTTAGAAACACCATTGGCAGCGATTACAGCTGTGAGTCTTTTTGGGTAAGTCTCTAAGAGTTTTGTACACCTGGATTGTACAATATTTGCACATTATTCTTTTTCAAATTCTCCAATCTCTGTCAAGTTGGTTGTTGATCATTGCTAGAAAGCCATTTTCAAGTCTTGTCATAGATTTTCAATTAGATTTAAGTCAAAACTGTAACTAAGCCACTCAGGAACATTCAATGTCGTCTTGGTAAGCAACTCCAGTGTAGATTTGGCCTTGTGTTTTAGGCCATTGTCCTGCTAAAAGGTGAACTCATCTCCCAGTGTGGAAGGAATACTGAACCAGATTTTCCTCTAGGATTTTGCTTGTGCTTAGCTGTATTCCGTTTCATTTTATCCTAAAGAACTTGTCACAGTTTTCTAAGCCAGAACCCAGAAGCAGACCAGGACAAGGTGAGTTGAAACGAAGGTGAGTATTTATTAACAGATTCAACAAAACGATGCAGAATAATCCAGGGGACAGAGCGGGCGGCGGAGATGAGTTGGTGGAGGTGCAGTGGCAGATCCAATAATGGCTCGGCAGCCGCCGACAACCAGGCAGGGGTTGGGTGAAGGTTCCGGGAGATTGACTGTAGATAGAAACAAACGGAGGTAAGTACACGACAAGCCAACAAGGTGCAAAACAACAAAACTAACGCTAGAAACTCAAGGGCTGATACGCTGACAAACATACTGTTCATGGCTAACGATCCGGCAGGGAATGGATGTCAGGTCAGAGCTTATGAAGGGTGATGATCAGGACCAGGTGTGCAGATCGCTGATGAGATGCAGGTGTGGGTAATCGGGAGATCTCCCGCCTAGCAACGTCGCCCGGCAACCAGGCCGGGAGCGTTCAAGAACCTTCAGGAACAGGAGATTCAGGGCAGAAAACTGGCAACACAGGCAGGAACCGACTCAGGACGCAGGGTTCATGACAGTACCCCCCCTCCGACGAACGCCACCGGGCGGACTACCCAGAGCGCCAGGATGGAGGCGGTAGAAGTCACGAAGGAGGTCAGCATCAAGGATCTGACGCCGAGGAATCCAACTCCTCTCTTCAGGCCCATACCCCTCCCAGTCCACGAGATACTGGAAACCCCGGCCCCGCCGTCTGGAATCCATAATGCGGCGCACCGTGTAGGCAGGACCACCTCCGATCATCCGAGGAGGAGGAGGAGGAGGCGGAGGGGGCAACAGAGGACTGAGGAGAACAGGCTTGAGGCAGGAGACATGAAAGGTGGGATGGACTCTGAGCGTTCTGGGTAACTTGAGTCGAACCGCAAAAGGATTGATCACTTTCTCCACCACAAACGGACCAATGAACTTCGGTGACAGTTTCTTAGACTCAGTCCGCAGAGGAAGATCCCGTGTGGCCAACCAGACCCTATCTCCGATGGTATAGGTGGGGGCGGGAATCCGGCGACGATTCGCCTGGAGCTGATACCGGTCAGAAACTCTAAGGAGGGCCTTTCTGGCCCGATGCCAGGTCCGGTGGCAACGACGAATTTGGGCCTGAACAGAGGGCACTGAGAGATCCCTCTCCTGAGAAGGAAACAAGGGAGGTTGGTAGCCATACAGGCACTGGAAGGGAGACATCCCAGTGGCAGATGTAGGGAGAGTATTGTGGGCATACTCAACCCAAGGCAACTGAGAGACCCAGGAGGTGGGGTTGGAGGAGACAAGGCAGCGTAGCGTGGATTCCATCTTCTGGTTGGCTCTCTCCGCCTGACCATTAGATTGGGGGTGAAAACCAGATGTGAGACTGACTGTAGCTCCAATGGCCAAACAGAAGGACTTCCAGACAGCAGAGGTAAACTGAGGACCACGGTCGGAAACTATGTCACTGGGCAACCCGTGGACCCTGAAAATCTCCCTAACCAGGATCTCGGACGTCTCAGAGGCAGAGGGAAGCTTGGAAATGGGCACAAAGTGGGCGAACTTGCTGAATCTGTCCACGATAGTCAGAATGACCGTGTTCCCCTCAGAAGAGGGCAACCCAGTGACAAAGTCCAGGGCCAGATGCGACCATGGTCGCCGGGGAATAGGGAGGGGGTGAAGTAGTCCAGAGCTGGGCCGATTGGCACTCTTATTCTGTGCACACACTGGACAGGCAGCAACAAACCTCCGAGTATCTTCTCCCATGGCAGGCCACCAAAATCGTCTGCGAAGTAACGCCATCGTCCGAGCCACGCCAGGGTGACAAGCCATCTTGCTGGCGTGGGACCATTGGAGGACAGCAGAACGAACCGACTCAGGCACAAACAACCGACCGGGTGGACCGTTACCGGGACCGGGCTGCGTCCGATGGGCCGCCATAACCTCCTCCTCAATCCTCCACATAACTGCTCCCACGACACAGTTCCGGGGAAGAATCGTCTCGGTCTTGGCCCCACTCTCCTCCGTCTTGGAGAACAGCCGGGACAAGGCGTCCGCCTTGCCGTTCTTAGACCCAGGTCGGAACATCAGGGAAAAATTAAAGCGTCCGAAAAACAAAGCCCACCTGGCCTGACGGGAGTTGAGACGTCTAGCCGATTGCAGGTAAGCAAGATTCTTGTGGTCAGTCCAGACAATAAACGGTTGCTCCGCCCCCTCCAACCAGTGGCGCCACTCCTCCAAGGCAAGCTTCACTGCGAGAAGCTCCCGGTTACCCACATCGTAGTTCCTCTCCGCAGACGAAAGACGACGAGAGTAGTAGGCGCAGGGATGGAGTTTACCGTCAGTGGAGCATCGCTGGGACAGGATGGCGCCAACCCCCACATCAGACGCATCCACTTCAACAACGAACTGACGGGCCGTGTCAGGTTGAGAGAGAATCGGTGCGTTGGTGAATCGCCTCTTCAAATCCAGGAACGCTCGGTCCGCCTCAGGATTCCAACTGAAGGTCCTGGTACTGGAAGTCAGGGCAGTTAAAGGAGCGGCCACACGGCTGTAATCCCGGATGAATCTGCGATAGAAATTCGCAAACCCCAGAAACCTCTGGAGCTGCAATCTCGTACCGGGCTGGGCCCAATCCAGAACCGCCCTAACCTTCTCCTGGTCCATCCTAATCTCTCCCCTGGAGATGATGTACCCGAGGAAGGATGTAGTGTGGGCGTGAAACTCACACTTCTCGGCCTTCACGAACAGGCGATTCTCCAACAATCGCTGCAGAACCTGCCTGACATGCTGGACGTGGCTGGAAGGTTCCTTCGAGAAAATAAGAATGTCATCCAGGTAAACAAACACAAAGAGACCGATCATATCTCTCAGGACGTCATTCACCATACTCTGGAACACTGCTGGAGCATTGGTCAGTCCAAACGGCATCACCTGATACTCGAAGTGACCCATCGGTGTATTGAAACCCGTCAACCACTCGTCCCCCTCTCTGATCCGGACCAGGTGATACGCATTGCGTAGGTCCAGCTTGGTGAACACAGTAGCACCCTGTAAGGAGTCGAAAGCAGAGCTCATCAAGGGCAGGGGATACTTGTTCTTGACCGTGATATCATTCAACCCCCGATAATCAATACACGGTCGAAGAGAGCCATCCTTCTTACCCACAAAGAAGAATCCTGCCCCCAGGGGTGATGACGAGGGACGAATGAGACCAGCAGCTAGGGACTCCTTGATGTAGGTCTCCAAAGCCTCACGTTCAGGTCGTGAGATGCTGTATAACCATCCCTTGGGATAGACAGCTCCAGGGAACAGGTTTATGGCACAATCATATGGTCGGTGGGGAGGGAGTGACAGAGCCCTCTGCTTACTGAACACTTCCCCCAAATCGTGATATGTCTCAGGAACCAGGGACAAATCTGGGGGTTTAGCCTCAATCACCTGACTGGGAACAGAATGGGAACAGGCAGTCTTGAGGCAGTTAGCATGACAATCAATGCTCCAACTAGTTACCTTGCCAGTCACCCAATCGAACGTGGGATTGTGTTCCTTCAGCCAGGGGTATCCAAGGACCAGAGGAACATGGGAAGAAGGCAGAATGAAGAATGAGATAACCTCAGAATGATTCCCTGACAACAGCATCTTAACCGGTTCAGTCCTCATCGTGATACGTGCCAGACTACTGCCGTTCAGAGTGGTAGCTTCAATGGCTTCCGGTAATCGCTCCTTGGAAAGCCCCAGCTGTTCCACCACGTCAGCATCAATAAAGCTTCCATCGGCACCTGAATCGACGAAAGCGTTAATCGCTAAACTCTGACTCCTGTTCATGAGGGTAGCCGGGAAACGGGATCTGACAGAGGTATTGAGAGGTTGAAACTGGCTCGCTAAAAGTCCTCCCAACTTTAGCGAGCCGAGCAGTTTGACGACCGCCGGGAACAAGTGGAGATGTAATGTCCCGAACTACCACAGTAGAGGCAGCGGTTGGTCTTACGTCTATGTTGGCGCTCCTCCTTGGTTAACCCGTGCCGCCCCACTTGCATGGGTTCAGAATCTGGAGGTAGGACCTCTCCACTAATCCTGTGTGGTGGACAATGATCGACGCATTCTGGTCCACCCCCTGACCCGACTGGAAACTGAGAAGCTGATTGATTGGACGGGCCCCATTGCTTCTCCCTCCTTCTCTCTCGAACTCTGTTATCCACCCGAATAGACAAGGCTACCAAGCTGTCCAGGTCACTAGGCTCCGGATAGGAGATCAACTCATCCTTGAGTTGCTCCGACAGCCCCTGGTAAAAGGCCGCTTGCAGTGACTCCTCATTCCACCCACTCTCCACAGCCAATGTCCTGAATTCGATAACGAAGTCGGCAACGCTGCGAGTTCCTTGGCGAAGAGAAAACAGGCGCTTAGCTGCGTCCTTACCTCGGACGGGATGGTCAAACAGCTTCCTCATCTCGGCCGTGAACTCCTGGTATGAAGCCATGCAGGTGTCCTGTCGTTCCCATACGGCTGAAGCCCACTCCAGAGCTCTACCACGCAGCAATTCAATGACAAAGGCTATCCTAGCCTTGTCTGTGGCATAAGAGTGGGGCTGTAGATCGAACACTAATCCACACTGCATAAGAAAAGAACGGCATCTTCCCAACTCCCCCTCATATTTATCAGGCGTCGGAACCTTGGGCTCACGGAAGGGCACAGCTCCAGAAGCGGCAGGCGAGATGGGTGAAACCGGTAGTGGATTCTCCACCGGCAAACTGAGCTGAGCCTGGATCTTCGTCAGACTGGTAGAAAAGTTCCGAACTGACAACGCTATCTCCTGTAGTGCTGTGCTATGTTGTCCCAACATCCTCTCCTGATGGGTAACGGCATGGCGAACAGAGTCCAGGTCCGCTGGGTTCATTTCTGGCCGGATCGTTCTGTCACGGTTTTCTAAGCCAGAACCCAGAAGCAGACCAGGACAAGGTGAGTTGAAACGAAGGTGAGTATTTATTAACAGATTCAACAAAACGATGCAGAATAATCCAGGGGACAGAGCGGGCGGCGGAGATGAGTTGGTGGAGGTGCAGTGGCAGATCCAATAATGGCTCGGCAGCCGCCGACAACCAGGCAGGGGTTGGGTGAAGTTTCCGGGAGATTGACTGTAGATAGAAACAAACGGAGGTAAGTACACGACAAGCCAACAAGGTGCAAAACAACAAAACTAACGCTAGAAACTCAAGGGCTGATACGCTGACAAACATACTGTTCATGGCTAACGATCCGGCAGGGAATGGATGTCAGGTCAGAGCTTATGAAGGGTGATGATCAGGACCAGGTGTGCAGATCGCTGATGAGATGCAGGTGCGGGTAATCGGGAGATCTCCCGCCTAGCAACGTCGCCCGGCAACCAGGCCGGGAGCGTTCAAGAACCTTCAGGAACAGGAGATTCAGGGCAGAAAACTGGCAACACAGGCAGGAACCGACTCAGGACGCAGGGTTCATGACAGAACTCAAGCATACCCATAACATGATGCAGCCACCACCATGCTTAAAAAGTGTGTTCTCTTGGATTTGCCCCAAACATAACACTTTACATTCAGGACAAAACGTTTATTTCTTTGCCACATGTTTTGCAGTATGACTTACCTTGTTGCAAACAGGATGCATGTTTTGGAATATTTTTATTTTGTACAGACTTCCTTCTTTTCACTCTGTCATTTAGGTTAGTATGCGCCACTCCACGCTGATCCTCAACACGGGGGCCCCTCAGGGGTGCGTGCTCAGTCCCCTCCTGTACTCCCTGTTCACTCTTGACTGCATGGCCAGGCACGACTCCAACACCAACATTAAGTTTGCCGATGACACAACAGTGGTAGGCCTGATCACCGAAAGCGACAAGACATCCTATAGGGAGGAGGTCAGAGACCTGGCCATGTGGTGCCAGGACAACAACCTCTCCCTCAACGTGATCAAGACAAAGGAGATGATTGTGGACTACAGGAAAAAGAAGAGGAGCTTCAAGTTCCTTTGTGTCCACATCACCAACAAACTAACATGGTCCAAGCACACCAAGACAGTCATGAAGAGGCCATGACAAAACCTATTCCCCCTCAGGAGACTGAAAGGATTTGGCATGGGTCCTCAGATCCTCAAAAGGTTCTACAGCTGCACCATTGAGAGCATCCTGACTGTTTGCATCACTGCCTGGTATGGCAACTGCTCGGCCTCCAACCGCAAGGCACTACAGAGGGTAGTGCGTACGGCCCAGTACATCACTGGGGCCAAGCTTCCTGCCATCCTGGACCTCTATACCAGGCGGTGTCAGAGGAAGGCCCTAAAAATTGTCAAAGACTCCAGCCACCCTAGTCATAGACTGTTCTCTCTGCTACCGCACGGCAAGCGGTACTGGAGCGCCAAGTCTAGGTCCAAGAGGCTTCTAAACAGCTTCTACCCCCAAGCCATAAGTCTCCTGAACATCTAACCAAATGGCTACCCAGACTATTTGCATTGCCCCCCCCCCCCCCCCCTTTACGCTGCTGCTACTCTCTGTTTATTATCTATGCATTGTTATTCAATAACTCTACCTACATGTACAGTTTACCTCAATTACCCTGACTAACCGGTACCCCCGCACATTGACTCTGTGCTGGTACCCCCTGCATATAGCCTTGCTATTGTTATCTTACTATTGTTTCACAACCATTAAACTGTAACTGTTTTAAAATCACCATTGGCCTCATGGTGAAATCCCTGAGCAGTTTTCTTCCTCTCCGGCAACTGAGTTAGGAAGGACGCCTGTATCTTTGAAGTGACTGGGCGTATTGATACACCATCCAAAGCCTAATTAATAACTTCACCATGCTCAAAGGGATATTCAGCATCTGCTTTTTTTATTTTCTACACATCTACCAATCGGTGTCCTTCTTTGCGAGGCATTGTAAAACCTCCATGGTCTTTGTGGTTGAATCTGTGCTTGAAATTCACTACTCGATTCAGGGACCTTACAGATAATTGAAATTGTGGGGTACAGAGATGGGGTAGTCATTCAAAAATCATGTTAACCAATATTATTGAACACACAATGAGTCCATGCAACTTATTATGTGATTTGTTAAGCACAATTCTACTTCAGAAAGTATTTAGGCTTGCCATTATTATTTATTTTTTATTATTAATTTCCACTGTGACATTTTGGGGTATTGTGTGTAGATCAGTCACACAAAATCTCAATTTAATCAACTCAATTTGACAACTCAACCAAATGTAAATCAAAACTAGACGTTAAAATTAAGTCTGTGCCCAGAGGACTGTGATTGCGAGCGGAGCATTTTAATGGAGGAAAGGTTTTTGGACCTGAAAATGGACATGCATTCACTATACAGAATATGGACAAACTGTTAAACATAATATCGCACTGTAGGCCAATGAATCCCCGAAGTCTCTTTAATGCCAAAACCAGATGGTAGAGTGCTTTTGCAATGGTGTTTCAATAAAAGCGCTCGCAGACATAGGCTACAGGTGATCTAAACTACTCCAAAATACACCTGTCAAGAAGTGCTTGATATTTACGGTTTATTTCCAGCTACAGATGAATATAAGACACATGATAATATTGATCTGATTTGGTTGAGTACAACGCATTATAGGCAGAGCTTAAGCAGGAAATGCATTAAAATAAATAATAAAACACCATTGCACAATGCTTAGATAATCAGAGGCCTGAATTGGGGTTAGAAATCAGTGAGTGAAGAACCCACTTCAGCAATGAACATTGTATCAAATGATCTTGTCTACTTTGTCTCTATAACGACAATTAAATTGCATAGACAACTTATAATGTTCAACGGATAACATATCATATCGTGTGGCATAGCCAATTGCTTATACTGCTGTATTGGCATCAATCGGCAGTTTAACTGGCGTAGGTAGAAAGTAATGCCAAGGCTGTACGCTTTCATTTAAACAACAAGTAGCAAGATGTTCACCATTTTAAAGCTCTACTTTGCTGAGTGCCATGGAATCCAAAAAGAAGAGACCCTTACCTGAAAATGGTGAGACTGTGAGCCTGTTCCGACACCAGACAGTGGGTCTGCGGACGATTTTGACATTTTGACTTGCACCATCTATTTGAGAGCCCAGGGAGGCGGGATGCACACAGACATGGGTCATTGGAAGAAGCAGTGATACCAAATAAATGTGCAGTGAAGAGGAAGGGTGTACGGTAGTAGAATAGTGTGAGGGTGTAGGGGCGATAGCTCTACATGGATGTATGATAAACAAAATTTACTATATAAAAAGATATCGAGTCAAGATGTTTACTATAGTAGAAGATAAGCTCTCAGTTGCTGTCAATCGAGCATCCCAGTAGCCTATATATGCGTCGCATCCTCGTGCTCTCTCTTTCTCACTCTGCACGCGCTTTGAGAGGGTCTTGCTGGTTTACAGAAGGCGGCTTAATTGGCATCACAACTAATCCGTACAGAAATGAAATGTTTCTGTTTTTCAAGCTGGTATTATAAAGTGTAGGTTATACATTTGTGCAAATGATATTTTTTTAAATAAACAACAACAGACATATTGTTTTAGTACTATTTCAATACTGTATAAAGGCTTGGTGTTTCCTATATGATTATGGTTGAATTATGTGTTTCATAATTTGGAATACCCTTTAAACTATAGTTATCTAGTAGGCCCTATAGGTCAGGGGGATACTGGGGACAGGTGTAACATAAATTGTGTTTTCTTTTACTATTTATGATGAAAATGTACCATAATAACAATTCATCTACCAACCTCCAGAGTGGCGCAGTGGTCTAAGGCACTGCATCGCAGTGCTATCTGTGCCACTAGAGATCCTGGTTTGAATCCAGGCTCTGTCGTAGCCGGCCGCGACCGGGAGACCCATGGGGCGGCGCACAATTGGCCCAGCGTCGTCCAAGGTAGGGGAAGGAATGGCCGGCAGGGATGTAGCTCAGTTGGTAGAGCATGGTGTTTGCAACGCCAGGGTTGTGGGTTCGATTCCCACGGGGGGCCAGTATGCACTCACTAACTGTAAGTTGCTCTGGATAAGAGCATCTGCTAAATGACATAAATGTAACTATTGGCAGAATTAAGAGTAGGCTAGGTCTACACTATTAGTCGAGGTTAGTTGTAACCATGGAATGGGTCAGTTATAGCACTTTTTTTCATGCTAAATGTGAGAGTGGATTTAACAAGTTTGTCCTCTTACATAACTATATTGATGAATATGCATTATCAAAAATATATGTAAAAAATTCAGTAGGTCATATACGATTTTGATTATTTTTCTTTCACATTTACAGACCTACAGTACCAGTCAAAAGTTTGGACACAGTAATATTGATTGGTCACATTCCCTTCATAACATATGGTGATATTCTATGTGTGATATGTGTAATGATACATGATATGTGAATATACTGCAAATGTATGCTGCTAACATGTACAGTACCAGTCAAAAGTTTGGACACACCTACTCATTCAAGGGTTTTTCTTTATTTTTACTATTTTCTACATTGTAGAATAATAGTGAAGACATCAAAACTATGCAATAACACATATGGAATCATGTAGTAACCAAATAAGTGTTAAAAATAATCAAAATATACAGTGAGGGAAAAAAGTATTTGATCCCCTGCTGATTTTGTACGTTTGCCCACTGACAAAGAAATGATCAGTCTATAAATTTAATGGTAGGTTTATTTGAACAGTGAGAGACAGAATAACAACAAAAAAATCCAGAAAAACGCATGTCAAAAATGTTATAAATTGATTTGCATTTTAATGAGGGAAATAAGTATTTGACCCCTCTGCAAAACATGACTTAGTACTTGGTGGCAAAACCCTTGTTGGCAATCACAGAGGTCAGATGTTTCTTGTAGTTGGCCACCAGGTTTGCACACATCTCAGGAGGGATTTTGTCCCACTCCTCTTTGCAGATCTTCTCCAAGTCATTAAGGTTTCGAGGTTGACGTTTGGCAACTCGAACCTTCAGCTCCCTCCACAGATTTTCTATGGGATTAAGGTCTGGAGACTGGCTAGGCCACTCCAGGACCTTAATGTGCTTCTTCTTAAGCCACTCCTTTGTTGCCTTGGCCGTGTGTTTTGGGTCATTGTCATGCTGGAATACCCATCCACGACCCATTTTTAATGCCCTGGCTGAGGGAAGGAGGTTCTCACCCAAGATTTGACGGTACATGGCCCCGTCCATCGTCCCTTTGATGCGGTGAAGTTGTCCTGTCCCCTTAGCAGAAAAACACCCCCAAAGCACAATGTTTCCACCTCCATGTTTGACGGTGGGGATGGTGTTCTTGGGGTCATAGACAGCATTCCTCCTCCTCCAAACACGGTGAGTTGAGTTGATGCCAAAGAGCTCCATTTTGGTCTCATCTGACCACAACACTTTCACCCAGTTCTCCTCTGAATCATTCAGATGTTCATTGGCAAACTTCAGATGGTCATGTATTTGTGCTTTCTTGAGCAGGGGGACCTTGCGGGCGCTGCAGGATTTCAGTCCTTCACGGCGTAGTGTGTTACCAATTGTTTTCTTGGTGACTATGGTCCCAGCTGCCTTGAGATCATTGACAAGATCCTCCTGTGTAGTTCTGGGCTGATTCCTCACCGTTCTCATGATCATTGCAACTCCACGAGGTGAGATCTTGCATGGAGCCCCAGGCTGAGGGAGATTGACAGTTATTTTGTGTTTCTTCCATTTGCGAATAATCGCACCAACTGTTGTCACCTTCTCACCAAGCTGCTTGGCGATGGTCTTGTAGCCCATTCCAGCCTTGTGTAGGTCTACAATCTTGTCCCTGACATCCTTGGAGAGCTCTTTGGTCTTGGCCATGGTGGAGAGTTTGGAATCTGATTGATTGATTGCTTCTGTGGACAGGTGTCTTTTATACAGGTAACAAGCTGAGATTAGGAGCACTCCCTTTAAGAGTGTGCTCCTAATCTCATCTCGTTACCTGTATAAAAGACACCTGGGAGCCAGAAATCTTTCTGATTGATAGGGGGTCAAATACTTATTTCCCTAATTAAAATGCAAATCAATGTAGAAAATATTTGACATGCGTTTTTCTGGAATATTTTGTTGTCATTCTGTCTCTCACTGTTCAAATAAACCTACCATTAAAATGATAGACTGATCATATCTTTGTCAGTGGGCAAACGTACAAAATCAGCAGGGGATCAAATACTTTTTTCCCTCACTCTATTTTATATCAGAGATTCTTCAAAGTAGCCACCCTTTGCCTTGATGACAGCTTTGCACACTCTTGGCATTCTCTCAACCAGCTTCATGAGGTAGTCACCTGGAATGCATTTCAATTAACAGGTGTGCCTTCTTAAAAGTTAATTTGTGGAATTTCTTTCCTTCTTAATGCGTTTGAGCCAATCAGTTGTGTTGTGACAAGGTAGGGGTGGTATACAGAAGATAGCCCTATTTGGTAAAAGACAAAGTCCATATTATGGCAAGAACAGCTCAAATAAGAAAAGAGAAATGACAGTCCTGTTAGGCCTACTGCTGCTAGGTAGCTCTCTCTCTGCTCTCCCCCTCCCCTCTGTCTGTTCTTGATTGCAGGAGTGAAGTCTGGTGTGCGGGAGTCAGGGTTCCAGCTGCAGCTCATTCACCATAATCACCTCAGCCTTTAAGACCCGGTCAAACTTGCCACTCATTGTCAGATCATAGTCAAGACAACCATGTTAGTCTCGCTGCTGATTCCACCTGCTTGTTTTCGCTCTTTGTGTTTTTGGCCTGTTCTATTACATTTCTCCTGTGCCACAGATTATTGGAACCTGACTCCTGCCTCCGCTTCACTCCTGCCACCACCATTCCGTTTACCACTACTGGACTTCCCTTTTGGACTCCCCCCGGACACTAGGACGTTACGGTACCACTCCTGCTCAGAACCTGGATCTGTTACCCTCCCTGTAGACCTGGACTTGCTCTTCCCCCTATATTTGGAAACCTGGACAATTTTACTTTGCAATAAACCTGTTAAACCTTCTCTGGCTCGGTGTAGTTGTCTGCATTTGGGTTCATATCCAGTTAAATCATGACAAGTCCATCATTACTTTAAGACATGAAGGTCAGTCAATCCGGAAGATTTCAAGAACTTTGAAAGTTTCTTCAAGTGCAGTCGCAAAAACCATCAAGCGCAATGATGAAACTGGCTCTCATGAGGACCGCCACATGAAAGAAAGACCCAGAGTTACCTCTGCTGCAGAGGATAAGTTCATTAGAGTTAACTGCACCTCAGAAATTGCAGCCCAAATAAATGCTTCACAGAGTTCAAGTAACAGACACATCTCAACATCAACTGTTCAGAGGAGACTGTGTGAATCAGGCCTTCATGGTCGAATTGCTGCAAAGAAACCACTACTAAAGGACACCAATAAGAAGAATTGACTTGCTTGGGTCAAAAAACACGAGCAATGGACATTAGACCGGTGGAAATCTGTCCTTTGGTCTGATGAGACAAATTTTGAGATGTTTGGTTCCAACTGCCGTGTCTTTGTGAGACGCAGAGTAGGTGAACGGATGATCTCCGCATGTGTGGTTCCCACCGTGAAGCATGGAGGAGGAGGTGTGATGGTGTGTGGGTGCTTTGCTGGTGACACTGTCTGTGATTTATTTAGAATTCAAGGCACACTTAACCAGCATGGCTACCACAGCATTCTGCAGCGATACGCCATCCCATCAGGTTTGTGCTTAGTGGGACTATCATTTGTTTTTCAACAGGACAATGACCCAAAACACACCTCCAGACTGTGTAAGGGCTATTTGACCAAGGAGAGTGATGGAGTGCTGCATCAGATGACCAGGGGCCTCATGTACAAAGACTTGCGTTGAATTCATACTAAAACATTGCGTACGGACAAAGCCATAAATGTGCGTACGCACCAAAAAAATCTGATGTATGAATCTCTGCGTACGCAGCATTCCACATACATTCTCTTTGAACATCCCAATCAACGCGAAATTGAGCGCACATGCACGAGCACCACACCACACCCTGTCTCCTCCCTCAATTAAATCAATTTAAATATGGTAATTAGTCCAATTTGGCAAAAGAAACCTGCAAGA